CGGACCAGGACTGGCAACGGGATCGCAACCCTCGGTGTTGCTCCCGCACCTCGCTCAGCCAGTGAGCGCCCGGTCTGAATGTGGGATCCGAACCCTCAGCGGGAGCGCCGCCGCGCTTCCCAAGCGGCGCACTATAGCAGTGTGCCACCGGGCCGGCCCTAACTTATTTAATTTCTTATGAGTCTTAGTTTTCTCAGCTATAAAATAAGATTGTCTATCTCAATTAGCTGCTGTAGGGATTAAAACAGATAACGTACATGAAAAGAAATTTGTAAACTGAAAACTATACAAGTATAAATCATTATTCCCCACTCACAAAAGTGGGAGAAATTATCACAGTGATTAACATCTCATGGCATTTTATAGTTTGTAAAACGTTTTTAACTAATACTTGAGACTATCATGATAGTAATTTAGATTGTTGCTAGATATGAAATGAAAGTAGTCAGACTGACAAAAAGCATGAGCGTTACTTTCAGAGTTTTAATATTGATTTATTTATTCAGCAGACACTCATTGAGCATCTACTTTGTGCTGGATCAAATTCTGTCTTATCAAGTCCACTTAATATTATGACTGCTACTAGCAAATGAACAAATAAATGAGAGTTTTATCGAGGACTTCCTTTATGCCAGCACCTTTCAAGACACCTTATAGGCATTGCCTTATGTAATCCTCACAGTGACCTGTGGGACAGATACTGGGTTTTTTCCCCACTTAACAGAGGAGGAATTGCCACAGAGAGAGGTGACCAGCTTTCTCAGGATCATACAGCCAGCAGGTGGCAGAGCCAAAATTCAAACCTGGATGTGTCACTTTTAACCTTTTCCATTTCATTTGATCATTCCATAGGTTATTACAGAAATTTCCCAGGTTAAAGAAAGGGAGAAGGGAAAGAAAATAAAACTTTAACCATTTGGCTTCTTTTAAAAAGTTTTGATAACAGAACTTCTTGGGAGAGGAAATTGGTATCGTCATCAAAAGGAAAATTTGGTTTTATCTGTAAATTTCAATCACGTTCACCCTCTATAAGGGTGGATATTTAAGATATGGCTGTATTATTCGGAAGAAAGGTGGCTTTTCTTCCTCCTTCTACTGTAGCATGGAAGCATCCTGGAGAGATGCAGAGCCCAGAAGACACACACTGTGTCTTTAAGTCCCTCTTTGAGCATGCAAGTGAGATCAAGTTGTGGAGAGAGAAAGAGACAGAGAACAGCAAGGGCAGCTGGAAGCGAGGAGGGACGTTGCAGAAAGGGGATGGCATGGAGGAGGGCTGGCACCGGCCTTTCTCTTGCTGGCAGGAGGGGTGATGGTGTATTGTTTTGGGCTGGAACTGGTGACCCCTGTGACCTGGCTGGCAGAGAGGTGGGGCCCTCTTTCTTTGCCCTCCCCTGCTCTCTGCGTCAGCGCCCAGGGTGACCCTCAATCACCCCTCACGCCCGGCGGGTTGGCCATGCTCACCTCGGTAGGAGAACCACTCCATCCAGTGCTTGAACTCACGCAAGTTACAGTCACACTCCCAGGGGTTGTCCCCAACCTGCAGCAGCTGCAGGCTCGCCAGGGGTTCAAACGTCAGCCGGTCCAGGTTCTGCAGGCGGTTGGAGCGAAGTGAGAGGGAGCGCAGAGCTGGGAGTCCGTCGAAAAGGCCCGGGGGCAGCTGGGCCAGGCCGTTGATGGACAGGTCCAGGTGGCGCAGCAGTGGCGAGTGCTGCAGCAGGTCCCTGTCCAGGGTCCTGATACTGTTGTTGCGCAGCTGCAGCTCCGTCAGATTCGTCAGGTCCGCAAAAATGGAGCGGGGCAGCTGGTCCAGGAAGTTGTTGGACAGGTCCAGCCGCTGCAGGCTGGACAGATTGGCGAAGGCCCAGCTTGGCAGGGCACTCAGCTTATTGTTCAAGAGCAAGAGGGTGCGGGTGGCAGCAGGCACGTCTGGGGGCACCACGGTGAGGCCTAGGCCACTGCAGTCCACCTCCAGGTTGCGGCTGTCGCACTTACAGGAGAAAGGGCAGGTGGGGAGGGCCTCCACAGCATGTAGGGCGATCCAGCAGGTGATCCCTGGCAGACAGGTGGAAAGAAAGAAGCAGGCTGGGTGTTACCACCCCCTGCTTCTGTACCCTCCTTTCCAGTGCATATCATGATGGCCAAGAGGCTCTCCCTCCTTTGGCTCAAGCCACAATCAATGCACAAACATTTCTGAACCACACAAAAGATAGTTCACAACTCCAAAGCCCTTTCCATATTAACGGACATCACACGGAGTTGGCAGGGCTCTGTGCCTCGCCACACACCTGGCAAAGAAATCACTGTAGTGTAGTGTGATCTGCAGACTCAGGCCTGAGCCCTGAGCACAAGCTGTGTGGTCCACAGTGACACCCCAGTTCATGGGGTCCCCACACCTGATCTCCTTGGCAGCTTGGGTCCCACTGAAACCATAGATGTTGACAAAATAAAGGATATAAGGATGTCAGAGAAACCTGCTCCCACGTTTCTCTCCCAGTGTCACTGCCAGGAGAAAGAATCTCTCTTTTCAGAAGAACATGGTCCCTTGAACCCCACCCCACCTGGAGCTGCACTGAGACAGGCTGTGCATGGAGAGGGGAGAGCGCAAAGGGCATCCTAACCCTGTCCCCTGCAACTTCCCAGGCGCTGTGCTGTTCACGTGCACACCACCTCCAAGATGAGGCCAATCACTTAGGTGAGCACTGGGAGTCCAGGCCCCTGGGGTCCCACTCCAGACAGCATGTGGACAAGGGTGAGATGCACAGGTCCACTCAGACACTGGCAAGTCCTGGGGACCAGGGCAATTCCACACTCATTCTCATCCTAAAGTCACCTGTGCTCTCAGCCTGGGCTTCTGTGCCTCTCTGCATGATGGAACAATTGACCGAATTCCTTTTGTGGTCCTGTCTCTTGCCCAAGACCCCTCTAAGTAACAAGCAGAGCCGTCTGTGGGGGACAGTCACACCAGAGCAGCCCACCACTGTGGAGCAGCCCTTTCTCATGGTGGCCTCAAAGCCCTCCCTCCTAAATATCAGAGGAGCCTGCAGCTCAAAATTGGTCAGCCGCCCAGGTCATCCCAGCCAAGGTCAGGTCCATCACGCCCAGAGGAGAGGCCCCCGCTGAAGAATTGCTGGAGAAGTTCAGACCCGGGTCAGAGCCCAGCTGGCCCCATCCAAGCAGCAGCAGCCACCTGGCCTGGGTGCCTGGATGGGACAGCCTTGAGTCTCTGTCTGGCGGGTGTCTGGTTGTCTGGTGCCCAAAGGCCAGGCCTTGAAGGGACAGGATGAGACTCTCCCTCCCTTGCCTGGGGGATCAGTGACAGCTGAGAGACACACTGCTGGGCCGACACCTGAGCCTCTTTGTTCTTGAAAGGTGATGAGCACAGACAGGTCATGGAAGCCAACTAGAGAACCTCCACAGCCATCCGGGGCCACCTGCGGCTACCTCCCACCCTCTTGCCCCTCTGAGCCCATCTGCTGCCAGATCGGCCTGCCCTGTGCTAACCACCCCCCGCCATGCCACTTGAAAATCAACATTGTTCAGATTTTACTTCCTCCAGAAAAAAATCCAACCCATCCAGCTTCCCTCTTGAAAGGTCAGCATACTAGAAGCCACTGTCACCCTCCCAGAGAAGAAACCAGGAGCAGAGTAAGAGCAGAGCAACCCCAGCCTCCCTCCCCGGAAGTTCAGGGCACCAAAGCTCTAGTGACAAGAAAACATGACCCTGAGTTGCGATGTGCTGAGTGATTCCAGAATGAGGTTGAAAGGGGATCCGAGCTGCCCAGGGAGCAGCCTCTCTCCCGTGGTGAATAATTCAGGCTGCTCATACTGGGGGCAGCTGGATCACAGGCCGACCCTGGCAGGGAGAAGTCGGGCAGAAGAACGTCCCTCAGGAGCATTTCTTACCTCTGCCCGTGCAGCCCTGGGCAAGCCAGCCCTTGTTGACCTTGTCCCTCTGCCTCACGTAAAGATAATTCTCAGGGCCTCTTCCATGCTGACGACTTGCAGGGGGGCCTTCATTCACATTTCCTCCTCTTATTTTATTTTTTTCCTTTTTGTCTTTTTTACTGACCGGTAACGGGATCGCAACCCTTGGTGTCGCGCCCGTACCGGGGACCGGCAACAGGATCGCAACCCTCGGTGTCGTGCCCGCACCGCGCTCAGCCAATGAGCGGGAACCGGTCTCCACATGGGATCCGAACCCTCGGCGGGAGCGCCGCCACACTCCCAAGCGGCGCACTCTCCAGTGCGCCACCGGGCCAGCCCAACATTTCCTCCTCTTTATGAGAAGTGTGGGGCCTAGTCCCTGAGCACTGCATCCCAAAAGCCCACTAGTTCCTCTGTTTAGAGCTGGGAAGACTGAAGTCTCCAGGTCACCCTGCTGGTGGCTGAGACAGGACAGGGGCTGCCCCTGTCAGAGCACAGGGCAGAAGCTGGGGCTGCTGGGCAGGGAGGGCCAACCTCCTGCCTCCACTCAGCTGGTCTGCAAAGCACGTGCTGGACAAGCTGGGGCACCATTGATGCTACTTAAAGCTCAGGAAGCCTGGCCATGCTCCAGCAGACCTCTTCCCTTATTTTTACTATCCAGGAATCCAAAGCATGGAGAAGGACACAGCAGACTTACCTGGGGAGACAGAACTAACTCTCCTGGCCTCTGGCTCCTGGTCCACCCACAGGGCTCTCAGCGGCAACTCTGGGGGCCACAAGTGCCATCGCCATGGGCATAAGGCCTTAGGCATTCTGGAAAGGTCTTCTTAGACCTTCCTGCAGCCTGAGATGCATCCCTCCATGCCATGTCACCTCCACTGCCCAGACCCTGCCTGTCCCACCCGTGCCCTCATCCTGCAGCCCAGGTGTACTCACAGGAGACCTGCCTCCACTGCAGAGCGAGCCTGTGCCTCTGCTCAGGGCTGTGGCCCGGCGCCAGCATGGTGACCCCCATGGCTCTCCAGGTCCTGCAGCTCTGGGGAGAGAAGAGCCCCTCGGTGCCTGCCGCCTGTCAGTCCTGAGACAGAGAGAGAGAGAGAGAGAGAGAGAGAGAGAGTGGGGGGAGTGAGCTGAGTGGAGACAGGGGGTGGGGGAGCGGGCCCAGGTGTCTCTTTACACTCCGCATTCCCACTCCTGCTCCTCCGGTTATGACTCTGGGGTGATGCGGGAAGGGGCTCAGGCTTCCCCGGGAGCCCTCAGGCGGGGGCCAGGGCTAAGCTCAGGTGGAGCTGGAGGAACCTCCCCTACGCCCACCCAGCCCCTGCCCTCTTCTCCTGGCCTCTGGTATATGGATCTCTAAAATGGTTTCAGGGTGATGGTCTCCTCTGTCTGGGCTTTCCCCATGTCACAGGTGAGAAAATGGAGGGCTGTCTCTCCTAGGGTTGCAGGGTGCAGTCACAGGGCACAGCTGTCACCTGGCTGCCCTCACACCAGGCCCCGGGGCTTACCATGGCCCAGGGAGTAGGCAGAGGCCAGGCACTTGGCAGCGGTGGCTGACAGGTCGGGCGAGCGCCGCTGGCTGGCCCCTGTGTCCTGCTCCACCGGCGCCTTCGTGGTGATTCGCGATGATTCGCGATGCTCTGTCTTCCGCCAGCCGGTCTATAATAAGACTCATCAGTTCAGGGGTTCATGCTGCAGCAGCTGCTCACGCAGGAGAGACAAGGACACGGAGGAGAGGGCAAGATCGCAGAGCAGACGGAGGGCTGGGAGCAGGGCCGGGAGCAGAGAGCAGGCTCCTCTTCCAGAGGGGCGGAGGGACCCCTGCTAGGTACGGCCCCAACCCAGTGTCTTGTGAGTGGAGCACAGCCCTCCTCTGCGCCCCACTGCCTTCCAGATGTGGCCGAGAGCTGTTAGATGGGGGTCAGAGCCTCTGCTCTGCCAGCACCATGGGAGGGGTGGAAAAGAGGGAAATGGGGAGGGGTGTCCCCCCCGAAGCTGGCAGGCGATGGGTGCGGGGGGGAGGGGAGGCTATGCCAACACCCCAGCTCCCTCCCGGCACCCACAGGGCACAGTTCTCTTGGCCCACTGCTCCCGGCCCCCAGAGTCTGACCTTCCTTGATTGCCAGATTGGTCCCTGGGTAATTCCAGGTTGCACCACCCACAGGCCTGTTTAATTCTGGGAGCTCAGGAGCCAATGGCAGGGTGGAGCAGACAGCTGAGGAGGTGGATGGGGCTGCGGAAGCTTGAGTTTGAGTTCAGGTTCCCCAGGCATTGGGGTCCTGCCGCCCCGGGGCCCCTCCTTGGGGCACGGCCTCCCTTCCCATGTGGCGAGGGCCCGGCGGGGCAGGTGTGGACCGGAGCAGTGGAGGAGCCCTCAGAGTGCTCCCCTGTCATTCCCACCTGCTGCCTCGGGCCAGGCCCCAGCAGGCTGTGCTTTGTGGGTGGGAGGGCGCTAGGTTGGAATCCCTTTAAGCAAACTGCTTAAACCCTCTGGGCCTCAGTTTCCCTGTGTGTAAAAGTGATGATCATAGTACTTAATGGGGAATTTCTGTGAGGATCAACCTAATTAAAGGAAGAGAATTAACATATACTAAGTGCACTTTACCTTAGGAATTTAGGTGACTTGGGCAGGGGCCAGCAGGTCTGTGTCACATCCAACCTCACACATGGGATTGTTTCTTATTCTTGACCATGCGGCGCCTGTCCAGGCCTGTGGACTGCACATGGTGCTCTGGTCATGGGCATGCTCACCGTGTGCCCCTCCCCAAGCTGGTGCTCACTGACCTGCCCTCGGAGACAGTAGCGTCCCCTCTCCCTGTGTGCCTCCAGCCCTGGCCTCCAGAACAGTCTCTCTCAGTCAGGGGCCTGCATCTCAAGAGCTCACAGCTCCTATGACGTATTAGGCAGGTCAGCAGCCACCCAAGCACAGAGATGATGACTGCTTTGCCCAAGGTCACACGGAAAGTCAGGGACTGAATTGCGGCTCTGAGCCGGGCTTCTCATCTACTCCCTGGCGACAGTTGCCAGTAGTGACCCTTGCAGGGAGATGTGTGTTGCGCACAGAGCAGGGTACGCACACAAGGCCTCCCTTGCAAGTGCTGCAAACACACACCCATGCGCGCACACGCACACACCATGCCTTGCTGGCAGCACCCAGCGCTTCTCAGATGCCAACCCACAGGCAGCAGAGTGGGACGCCTCACAGTCCCCCAGCAGACAGATGTGCAGGGGCAGCTCCAGCCTAGAAGAGAGGTCTAGAGAGAGCCCTAAGGTCGTCCCTAAACCAGGGAATGTTCTATGCCAGGGCCTGTGTGGGGGCTGGAGACCCAAGCCAGGCTTCTGCTTGTACTCGTCCTGTTTTCCTACAGGGAGACAGGCGTCAGAGAAACCCTCGACCACGCACAGTCCTGTTTCCACCTGGGGCGCCTGCCTTCTCCTGAGGAGGCTGCCCTTCTCCACCCACCCCCTGTCCCTTCCCTCAGCATCACCTCTCTAATGAGCCCAGGGTTGACCAGCAAACACAGTCAGTGGAGAAGGTGGACTTGAGTGCCATCCTGACGCACTGTCCCCAGCCTTGAATGGGATGTCACCTGCACAAAGACGCACAGGCCTTGTATCGTGAGGTGGCAGGACACTGTTGACCCTGATAAAATGTGATAAGAGAGAGGTTCCCAGGTCCATGAGGATGTGCCTGCACTCTCTGGGTATGGCCCTGCCCCCATCAGCCCCATGGGCTCCCTGATGGATGTCACAGCCTTCCTGAGACTGGAAGAGCAGCACGCCCAGCAGGGCAAAGCAGAAACGTGTGGCCCACGGAGGTGGCCCTCAGGGAGATGTGGACCTGGAGCCAGCACCTCCTAACCCCTTAGCCCTCTGCCAGCCAACATCCCTCCAACAAAGGATCCCTTCCTGCCCCCATGAGACTCGAGCCTCTGTGGGAAAGGGGGTGACCTACATTGGGAAGCTGGCAGAGAGCTGCTGCAGGAGGCACAGGCCAGCCACAGAAATAAGTTAACATGATCTGGGAGGGAAGCCCCTGCCCAGGGTAGAGAGTGGGGGACAGAAAAGAGTTGGGGAGGGGGTCTCGCCCGACAATCTCCTGTCTCCAAGTGCCACAGTCTTGTCAGTCTGGATGCTGGTCCTGCTCCTAATCCTCACTGGGGTGTTGTCCCAGTTCCAGAGGCAGAGACCAGAGGGAAGGGGCTGGTCTGGACTGAAGAACGGGGCTGAGGAGCTAAAGCAATCAAGTGGGAGCCCCCAGGAACCAGAAGCAGGGGCTGTGACTCTAGCCCCTTGCTACCAAAATGTGGCCGTGGGCCAGCCGCGTCCATCTAGCCTTTTAGAAATACGGAATCTCAGGTTCTACCAGGACTGACTGCGTTTTAACAAGACCCCGGGGCATGTGTGTGCGGTACGCGGCTTTGAGAAGCACAGTAGGAGGTTAGGTGCCTCTCAGACCATGCTGGTCTGTCTGTGGGGCCAGCCACCAGCAGGAGAGGCACAGGTCCGAGGGCCTGGAGGTCACCGAGCAGGGGCAAGGATCCTGATGCAGCACCTCCATCAGGAAGCCTCTAGATGAGAAGGACAGTCGCCACAGTCACAAACACCTCACAGTGATCTTAATCCTCCTAACTCTCCAAAGTTAGTATTATAAACACCATTTTGCAGATGGGAAACTAAGGCACAGGAAATTAAGCAACTTGCCTATAGTTAGGCAAATAGAAGAAGGCAGCTCTGAGCCGCACTGTCTGGTGACGGAGCTGCTATCAGCTTGCACGTGGCGGTCCCTGGCCTAGGAAGGCAGGGCGGGCAGGGGGATGCACCTTTCATTTGTGTGTCACTCTACAGTTTACACGGCGTCCCTCACCCACTGTCTCACTGGAGCTGAGAAGACAGCCGTTCTTACCCCTACTCTGCTGAGGAGGAGACCAGCTCTGTGGCTCACCAGACGGGACGTGAGCCAGGTCTCCCCCTCCCAGCCCCGGCCCCAGGCGTGGTGGGATGCGGCGGTGGCGTATCTGGGAGGCCAGCATCTTGTTGGGGGTGCCGAGGTGGGGGAGGTGGGCTGGGAGCTCCGGGAAGCGGGGCTGGAGGAGGCAGCGGCAGGAGCAGAGGGTTCCACTTGCTCCCGCCTAGGAGCTGCTGTGGCAGCCTCGTGTCACCACAGGGTCAGGGTTAGGGTGGCAGGAGCCCTGACCTCTCTGTGCTCCTGCGCCTTCTGTTTCTCCCGCAGACGGAGGCTGATCCTCCTGGGGCCTTGGCACAGGCTCCAGCTAGAAACCTCCACACACTCCCCGAGGCCTGGTGTCCACACCCTTCCTCTGTGGCCTCTGTCATTTCCATCCCTCTCAGCCAAGTGTCCAAGCCGTTTGGCCAGTTCACGACCATCATGCAAGAGCTCCCAGCCCCTGGGCCACAGTGCCCGCCTCGCCTTGCACCGCCTCCCCTGCGGCTCCCCTGGGTCAAGGGCCCCTGGGCCACAGTGCCCACCTCGCCGTGCACCGCCTCCCCTGCGGCTCCCCTGGGTCAAGGGTCCCTGACTTGGGGAAGACTCACAGAACTCAGTCCCCTCCACCACCCCCTTCATTCTGCAGAGAGGCATAGGTCCCAGGGGTAGTGAAGGGCAGAGCGAGGACTGGGCACCTTCCCCAGGGGTGCTGAGAGGGAGTCTGGACAGCCAGGTGGGAGCGGGCCAGGGACTCTGTCTGCTCTAGGCTGGGCTCTCCACCTGCTGCCACTGTCTGGCCACCAGGCCCTTTTAGGAAGGACTCTAGATCTCCTCCCTGCCCGTCACCCCATGACACACACTGCCCAGGAAGAAAGGAAGCAGGTTTTCAGACATCTCCATATTTGTACTTGGAACAGACATATACCCTCCTGGTTCGTTCTCACCCCCAGCTGCCTGCACCCTTGTTTTCTCAACAAATATTCCCAATCCCAAATAGACCCTCTGGGAAGAGAAACAGAAAAGCCTCGCAGGAGCTGCTCGCTGATGGCAATGAGCTAAGGTGTGTACAGTGTCTGCAAGGCCGGGCTGGGCTCAGGGTGTGGGCCCCAGGCACGGGGCAAGGGAGACCTGACCCGGCGCGGGAGGAGGGAGACCCAGAGAGGGGACGGACCACCTCTGTTCCGACTCCTTCCTCCTCTCCCCGTCCCCAGAGCTCCCAAACATTCCCAGCCACCGCACCCACACCCCTTCCTGCCCCCTTCCCATGCTGCCCTCTCAGACCAAAGCAGCCCTCAGCTCCGGTGCCTGGGAACTGGGAATGGGGTTTGCTTATCCTGGGCCCCAGACACAGCTTCCAGCCAAACCCCACAGAAACCAGATCGGCTGCTTAAGAAGCCCCCTCCTTCCCCACCCCGGCCCAGCTGGCTTCCTGGCCTCCCTCTTTCCACCAGGGGGAGGTGGGGCTGGGAAGAGCCGGGCTCTTCTTGGCAGTGTGGGAGCTGTTGTTGGGGTTCCCCACCAGCTGGACTCCCCCACCCCTCCCCCACTGGTGTCATTATCTAAGTGGCAGGGGTATCAATCCAAATCACACGGAGGCAGAGCCCAACAAGCCCTGACAGCCAGGGACCAACACCACCACCCCAGCCCAGAAATGCAGACAGCTTGGGGAGGAGACAGCAGCCAGATGGAGCCCAGCTCCAGCCCTGTGGGAAGTGTGGGGACGTGAACTTCAGACTCCTGGGCAGACGGCCCTCCCTCCAGCACTGTCAAAGTGGACCTTGGGGTACTGAGTTTCCTGCTCCAACCCATGGTGTCAGGAAGCCAGGTGGGCATAGCCTGGCTGTGTACCCACCCTACCCCAAGTTGAGGGCCCAGCCCCACTAGGGCATCTGGCCCATCTGTAGACAGAGGGCCCAGTGCACAGCTGTGGGACCCCCCAGCGGTTCTCACAGCCTGGCTCCCCTGTCTGCTCTCAGGAGGGTGAGGAAGCTGCAAGACTCCTGTCCCTCTTCCACGCCCAGCCCTGCCCCCACCAGGGAGGCCTTACTCCCAGCTATGTGGACCCATGTCCGGCTGGGGAAGGGCCCCCTGTACCTTTGTCCAAGGATGGCCACTTGGAGGTCAGTATCTCCAGCCCTAGGGCAACCCGGTCTATTCCTATGCCTTGAACAGTGCAGTCCTCCATCCCGCCACCCCACCCCAAACCTTTCTCTGGACCAGCCCTGTCACCAGCACCTGCTGCTGTCCCACCCCCTGCTCACAGCACCCAAGTTCCTCAGGCTGTCTGTGCAGAGCCGGCCATGCAGAAAGCGCAGGTTCCTGGCTGCCTCCCCCATGCTGCAGGGACTGGTTTCTATGCCACCCGGGCTGTCATCTGGCACCAGCACTGCCCTCCTCCCCTCTCCCCTCCTTGTCTGCCCCCTCCCTGGCAGAATCCGCAGCTCATGTCCCCAACACTGTGGGGTCAGAGTTCCCAGTGTTCTGTACCTTTGAGATGCACAGGCAGCTGGTCCCGAGTAGCTCCCCCAGCCCCAGCAATTGCCCCCAGGCCAGAGGCAAGCGTGGCTATTTGTGCAGGGCAAAAAGACCCAGCAAAGATGTCCCCAGTTCCATGCCCCAGCCTCCCCGCGCCCAGCAGCCCTCCCTTCCATCCAACCAGCACTCAGCACTCACCTCTCTTGAGCTCCTTGAATCAGGTAGCTCTCGACCTCCCGGGGAGACACTGCCACCAAGCCATGCAGCAGCGCTGATGCCGCTGGAGTCCCCTCGCTCACAGGGAGCAGGACCTGGCACGCAGCACACAGTGCTGGCTGCCGAGGGCCGGGGCTGCCGGGGCTGCCGGGTCAATAACAAACTGAGAGGGAGAGGCAGGAAGGCGCGGGAGACAGGAGAGGGGAAGCGCGGGCAGAGGGAGGAGGAGCGGGAGTCGGAGCAGTGGATGACAGCTGGGGTACATCTGCGGTGACAGCGGCGCAGCACACACAGGAGCACGCACACGCCAGAGGCACTCGGGCCGCGAGGGCAATGCTCGCATTTCAGCGGAAAGAAGCGCCCGTGGATGGATGGCTTCCCGCTCCAGGGAGGGGACACGGGTTCGCCGCGCGCCTCCATCCCTCCTGCTCCGCCGGCGCCCCCACTGGCGGCCCCGCGCCGCCCCCTCCCGCCCCTCCCCTCTCTCCTCCTCCATCTGGGCAAAGGGAGGCAGGCCCCAGCCCCAGCCAGCTGCTGACTCCTGTCCCCATCGAGGCCACCCTGGGAAGCTGGGTCTGTCTCCGTTTCAGAGACACACGGGGCAGTGTCTCCCTCCCCGCCTGTGGGAGCAGGAAAAACCAAGCCCTCCTCTCAGTCAGAGAACGATTCATTGCAGGAGAGGACTCCGGGGTGCACGGGGATGCTGACTTGCCAGGTCCTCCAGAAAGGGCCTGAGACACACAAAGCCAGTGGTCACATGGTCACGCAGAGGTCACTGAGCCTCAGGGTCTGACCACCCCAGGCCAGGACTGTGGAGGGGAGCAGGCTGCCCCTCAGTGGCCTGGGACGAGCCCTGGAGGAGCCAGGGGCGGACAGATCCCCGCTAGCTTCCCAGGCTCCCTGCTCTTATCTGTGAGGGGCAGGCATGCCAAGGGAAAGACGGTGACTCAAGAACTCAGACGCCTCCTTCCTAACCAATCGCACAAAGCAAGCCAGAGAAACTGAGGAAAGCAGCTGGTCAGAGAAAGCCAGGACAGAGAGGAGCCTGGAGGCCACCGCCCAGCTTGGGCACTGACCCCTGAGCACCCTTCCTCTGCGCCTCTTAAACTTGCCTGACAGCCACACAGTGCAGCATGTTGGCAGCACATCATGGGTGTGCCCGCCCCTCTTCCTCCAGGGATTTCTTTCCTCGGGGGACTTGCAATCAGGGTGGGGTGGGGCGTGGAGCTCCCCAACTCTGGAGCCTCTGACAGGACGCTCCTGCGACCTCTTTTCTGTCTGCGCTGCTGGTCCCTGGGCAGCGAAGGCTTGGACTGCGGTCCCAGGAGGAGGGAAGAATGTCTTCACCTCTTGGGAAGTCCCTACCTCTCACTCCACACACATATGCCATGTGTCCTACACTTTCCCTAAACACACTTCCCGCTCCCGTCTCCATGGAAGCATGTCCTTCCCTGAGCCTAGAATGCGATCCTCACCTGTGGGTGGTCTTGCCCTTCCTCAAAAGCTCAATCAGCAGGTCATCTCTGTCATGCAGTCCCCGTGGCCACGCCATAGGACTTACCTTGCTCCTTCTCTGGTCAGTGGCCACTCTTGTGGTTCTTGTCACAGAGAAAGTCATATGGTTGCTTTCCGTGCTGTGCTTTATCTCTTTCCTCTACCATGAGCCATTCCAGAAGAGGGACCCTGCCTACCCGCTCCAAGTCCTCCATGCCCCTGGGCCTTCTTGTCAATTGAATGAGGAATAGACGAGGTGAAAGGGCCCAAGACCAGGCACTGGGGGACTTGGAGTCTAGACTCTGTTCTAACTAAGTAGCTATTAGCTGGTTAATTAACTAGGCAGCCCTGGGCCTCACTCAGTTTCCTGCCCCATGGAATGAGGAGGTGGATTGAGATCTCTGGTCTCCCTTCTACACCTAAGTATTCATGGAGTACCTGCCACGTCCCCAGCTTGTGTGATAAAAGACAGGTGCCTCCTACCCAGTGGTCTCCACCCAGTTAAACAGACGACCGCAGTCTCGGGCTGAGATATTCAGCTAGAAGAGAAGGTAAAAGATGCAGTTTCTGACTCCTCGTGACCATGGCCTTCAACAGGGATTGTGTCTGTGTGCAAGCTCGTGTGTGCAGGTGCGTGCCTGTGTGTGCTGCCATGTGTGCGTGCATGTGTGTGCATATGCACAGCTGTTTTGTTTTGCTGTCTGTAAGGACAAAGCAGCGCAGAGGTGACAGTCAGGATGTGGAGCAAAGACACACATCTTGATCAGCCGTCTGCCGCCTGTGGCCTTATTGAGGCTCTTTGTTAGGCTGTCTGCAAGCTGAGCCGAGATCTCAAAGAAAAGCTGCTTTGGAGGAGGGCACTAGATCATTGTGAGAGGCAGGCGAGAGAGGGAAGGCAGGGGCAGCTGGGGAGGATGCAGGGAGGGGCGCCCAGGCCTGGCTGGGGCAGAAGGAGGGGTCAGAGGTGCATCCTTCTCTGTCAGCACTGCAGGGCCCAGGGGATCAAGGTCAGGGTCCACACAGCGACCCACCACACACAGGCATGAGGGAAGGTCCTTAATGACACACTGGGGAGCCACCCAGGAAGGCCAGATGCCTCGCATTCCCTCGACCCCCTGGCCTGAGTTTCTCTTCACGGAGTTCTGAGCTTGTCTGCAAACATGGTCACATAACACATTGTCTCCTAGCAAGAGGGAGGGGACAGAGGGGGCTGGTGACCTTTCTGCCAGGTGAGGCTCTGGGAGGTCTGTGACAGTAGCCGAGCAGGACAGGCTTCTCGGGGAGAAGGCTGCACTCAATGTCCAGGGTGGAAAAACACAATTTGGGTTGTGAGGCAGGAGGTGAACAGAGGATTAGAAAAGACTGAAGCCAGGGGTGTGAGGGGCTCGGTGTGAGGTAACAACCGACCTCTGTTACAGATATTTCCACGTACCTCACCACTTTCCCTGCTCTGCACCAGGTCCTGTTTCAAGCATCTCACATTCTTACCATGAGGAAGTTCTTCTTTGTGTCCCACTTAAATTCCCCGTTTCTTTTTATTTACTTATTTTTGGCAGCTGGCTGGTACTTAAATTCCCCGTTTCTTAGGGATTACCTTCAAAGTCTTCAAGGGACTTAGAGCACAGCTCATCTCCCAGATCTCAAGTCCAGTGTCAAGAGGGCTGGGCCCAATGTGGGGAGAGGAGTTCCCTGAGGTCCTGCATGCTAGAGGACAGGGATAGCGCGATCTTGCTGAATTTTGCTTTGTCAAGCGCTGACTCAAGTTGAATTTATTTATTGAGTTCAAGAAATATTTGAGTCTCACTATGTGAGAGGGGCTGTGCTGGGTACCAGGGATCAGAAAGTAGTCCCCTGGCCTGCCGTTAGCCCCACTCTAATGGGCGAGACAGACAGTAAATGAGAAATCAGATAAACAAACCATGTCACTTAGAAAATAAAAAGAGTGGTGAGATAGAGAATGGAAGGCGAAGGGAGGACTGCTCTCTCTGGGGTGGTCAGGGAAGGCCCCTCCAGATGTTTGGGCTAAAACCTGGTGACGAGAAGAAGTCAGCCATGTCAAGTTCTAGGGGAAGAGCATTCCAGGAAGCAAGAGCAGCTCCTGCAAGTACCCGAGGGGGGATGAGCTTAACACATCTGAGGAGAGTGCATTTCAGGTTGAAGCAGAGACGTCTGCAGGCCCAGCTCACAAGGCCATATTACAAAGGAGTTCAGGTTTTGTTCTCAGGCAGTGGGAAGGCATCGGCGGGTTTTAAGCAAGGAAGCAGTGTGACTGATCTTCAGAAAGATCACTCTGGTGGCTCTGTGGGGAAGGGATCGTAGCAAGGCAGGGGTGGGAAGCAGGAGACCACTCACGGGTCTCTTGCATTAGTCCAAGTGAGACGGAGTTGGCTCGGCCAAGGGTGGCGGCTGTTGAGGTGGAGAGAAGCAGGCAGATTTTATAGTGTTCGGGAACAAAGGTCTGCAGAACCTGGACGGGAGGAAGGGGAACGATAGCAATTAGACAGAAAATGTGCCCTGAAATGGGGAAGCCTCAAGGAGGGCTGGCTTTGGGAGGAAAGGCCCTAGTTTGGTTTTGAACATGTTAAATTTGAAATGCACAGGGGTGACCTGAGTGGAGATGGCATGTCAGGAGACGGAATGTCCTCAGTTCTGCAGAGGGCACCCAGGTGCACAGGACTCAGAGCTTACTCTGGAGGAACTTACAGTTCAGCTAGTGAGATGGGGCCTAGTGGGGGAGAGTCTGTGTCTCCACTCCCCACATTTCTACCCAAGGAGCCTCGAAACCTGAATTTCATTAGAGGAGAATTAACCCTCTACCTTTCTTCCAGCTCAGGAATCTCATGCCTCTGTGAGACTCGACACTGAGTAGAAAGGCCAAGTCTCATTCTAGGAATAACCCAAGACCTCTTTGACCACTGAGGCCAAGACAGGGTGAAACAAGCTTTCTTAAATCCCAAAGATTTGATCATTCTAAGCATTGGCGTGATTCCCCCCTGACAATTTTTAAAAGGTTCATCCTCTTTAATACAGCCTTTTTCTACAGGTGAAAGAAATCTGTTCAAAATGAATTTATCAAGGGCATTCCTAGAAGAAAAAAGGAGGAGCAGAGACTGAGGGGCCACGTGTGGCCTTAGAGGGAAACGTGAGCGGGAGGCTCACTGGGGTTGGGGCCTCAGGCACTTGTAAGGGCCCCAGAGGCCCTCCCCACCCTTGGAGCCGCGTGGCAATTCTGCAGTGACTGTGACTAACCTTGAACAGGTCCTATGATATGGGGACGTCTGAGTTCATTGGGGACTTCTTTGTTGCTTCAAGATCCTAGAGGCTTAAAGGAGTGGGCAGGAAGGGGACAGGTAGACGCACCTGTTGGCTCATGACAAAGATAGGACATGGAGACAGGCGCCTTGGAGACAGATGGACCCAGGCTAGTGTCCTGGCTCTGGTATTTAGCTGGGTGTCTTGGGCAAGCCATGTCACCTCCGTAAAGCCTGCATGTCCTCAGCATGTAGAGTCCGAATAATAATAGTCCTGTCTGCTGTGGGGATTAAATACACTCATGCATTTAAACTTGCCCGATGGGTCCTAAGCACTCAACACATTTTCAATATTATTTTACCAGATGCTACGCAGTTGGCCTAGTTTTTAAATTCTTTTTCCTTTCAATATAACCTGCCTTTTCTTTCTATTCTTTGGCCCAAGTCTTCCTGGAGCTCTTTGTCCCAGATTTCTTTTAGTGTCTGTGCATCCACATGGGTCCTACGGGCCTATTTGGGAATCGGAGGCAGGGTGGCCCTTGTCAGAGGAGCCATCAGAAGAGTCACATTTGTGGGCTGGTGGCGTCTGTGGTCTCCTGGAGCCTGCCTGCAAGCCTGGATGCATCTGATCACAGCCTCCTTACAAAGTAGGGAAGGCCCTGAGCTGGTACTGAGTTTTAAAGAGGTTGTTACACCAGGGTTAAGACCGAAGGAGCCCCATGCGTTGCCCAACTCACAATGGCCCTGAGTTCCAGTCTCAGTCACTACTTTGGGCCACGTGATCTTGCACAAATGGTGCAGTCTCTCGGGCCTCTATTGCTCCATCTGTGCATGGGGAGAATGCTCTCCCCCATCCACCTGCTGCAGCTCCAGATATCAGAAGATAAGTCCCATCCTCAGGGCTTTCCTGGTCTTGCTCTTCCACTGGGGATGGTAGGAGCCACCGGTCTCCTTCTGTCTGTTTGCCACCCCCCATCCCACCAGTCCAGGAACCTCAGATTCCCACTCCACCAGCTGACTCAGCTCTCCCCTCCCTTCCTGCCCATGCACCTCCTCTCTTTAACTGGAATCTATTTCTTTTCTCTCCCTGTCTCTTCCCTCCCACCGTCCCCTCCCCCAAAACACACACCTGGCCTTTCCCTCCCTCCTCCCACTTCCTGTAGCGGTGGGCGTCCTGATGAAGCTGGAATTCCTCCAGCGCAAGTTCTGGGCAGCAACGCAGCAGGTAGGTGTGACAGTTCAGGGCCTCCCTCCTCCTGCTCAGACCCGGTGGCAAAGGGCAAGACATGGGGCATGCCCTCTGGGCCTGGCCTGCACGACCCAGTCTCTGCTGCTCCAGAGCCACACACCCACCTAGGTCCGGCCACCCGAGCACCAGGCCCTGGCTGTGTCCAGGCCACTGAGAATGCCGCCTTGCCCACCGTCCTCCCCACCACCAAGCGCCCACAGACTAGGCTCCTCTGGGCTTCTGAGGTGCCCTCACCCCTCACAAGTTCCTCCGCCCCGATTCCTCCTCTGTCCCTTGCTCCGCATTCACTCACTGCTATGTCCTCGCCTTGGCAAATTTAGGGAGCCATAGAACGAAGATGCAGGGGGGAGCAGAGGGGAGCCAGCTTGGTGACCTGGGGTCACCCACCCCATCAGCCAGATGACAAGGAGCAGAAGCCTCCGTGGAGGCCTCATGAAGCTGCCCTAGGGGCTTCCAGCCACGCACTGACCCCTCACCGAGCAAAGGTGGCCACGGGCTGCAGGGGCTGCGGGCCCTCGGAAGAACCGAGTCTGCACTACAGCTGCGGCTCCTCACAGCCCTGGCCCACGACCGCACACGCCCACGCCTGTACACACACACGTGACAGTACCGCACATGCCCACCCCTCCCCACACGTCCGCACACACCACGGATGTGATGCACTCGCATGTGACATAGCCACCACACATCTGCACACACGCGCGCACACGGGCACTCACAGTTCTCTTCTCCCTCCCAGTGCAGTGCCATGCATGGGCCATGCCTGAAGAGCTGCGAGGACAGTGTAAGCTCTTCCTGTGGGGAGAGGGTGGGCACAGGGGACCGGCCCTGGCCACAGGTGACCCCTTCCCCGAGGCGCCAGACTCCAGATCCTTGGGGCAGGGGGGCGGAGGAGGGTCGGCAGCCGCCCAGGTCTCACCCCCTCGGGCTTCTTCCCCAGGACCTGGACTGCTTCCTCATAGACAGCAACGGATTCATCCTGGTCTCAGAGAGGCCCCAGGAGGTGAGTGACGGGGACGGAGTCAGGGAGACGGGCCGGCCCGGGACAGGCTAACAGCCCGGGAAGAAACCCTGGCTTAGAGCTGCTGTTAGTCATGGCCTATGGATGTGGTTTTCTGAAACCAGAGTCCACCTGAGGGGACTTGGGACAGAGGATGGCTGAGGAAGAAGGGGCACCACTGCGTCACGGAACCTGATTGCTTGAGGACAGTTTTTACACAAGCACTTAGCGGGCAGTGCCTCCTCCCGGCGAGCAGGACAGGGAAGGTGCCGCCCGTCCTCCTCCGGGCACTGCCGCTTGCTGCCGCGGTCACCCCTTCTTCCTTTCACGCCCCCTTTTGGCCATGTCGCTCTTCCCGGGACAGAGCACCCCTCCATCTTAGTATTTCTCAACTACTCTGGGAGAAAAACAGGTGAGGACAGAAGCTGCAACCAGTGGCCGGAAGGCGACCTCGGGGTGGGCTCTCTGCTGCCCTCGATCCCCTGCCCCGTCCCTGCAGCCACATCTCCAGCCTCCTGTGGCCTTGGCTTTTGAGGGCCTAGGGATTTCAGAGAGCACGGGAGCTCGGATACTGGCACAAGAGGATGGCAAGGTGCAGACAGAGGACGGCCAGGCCCAAGAGGCCGCTCCTTAGACAGGTGCTCTGTATCTAGGTTTTGGGCTTTGTAAGTCAGGCGGTCTCTGTCGCCACTACTCAGCTCCGCTGTGGTGGTAAGAAGACAGCCAGAGGGCCGGCCCGGTGGCACACTGCTACAGTGTGCCGCTTGGGAGCGCGGCGGCGCTCCCGCCGAGGGTTTGGATCCCACATACAGACCGGCCGCTCACTGGCTGAGCGAGGTGCGGGCACGGCGCCGAGGGTTGCGATCCTGTTGCCGGTCCTGGTCCGGTACGGGCGCGACACTGAGGGTTGCGATCCATTGCCGGACACGAAAAAAAGACAAAAAGGAAAAAAAAAAAAAGAAGACAGCCAGAGACCATATTGAATGCACGAGCCTGGCATCATTGCCATAAAATGTTATTAGGAACACTGGAATTTGAACTTCACATAATTTTCTTGTGTCATGAAATATTATCAATCTTTTGATTCTTTTCCCAACCACTTGAAAGTGGAAAGGCCATTCTTAGATCAAGGGCTGACATAAGTCCACAGTCGCCAGAACTGGCCCTCAGGCCCTAGTGTGCCAACCCCTGCTCCAGAGGCGGCCAGGACCACCTCACAGGGACCTAGGCCCAGGAGGGAATCTTCCCCAGCACAGGCCACTTTGAGAGCTCAGTGATGGGACCCCCTCCCCCAGGGTTCCTCGCGCGACCCATTGGTGCTGTTCTACCCAGACCACATTCGCTCACATGTGCTCAGATTGTGACGTCCCTGGGAGCAACTCTGCGGACGTACGGTACCAACCCGTTATTCAGAGACGCATACTTTGGGAAGTGTCTGTGTACTTAGTGCATGTACCCTTATTTCTTCAACTAGTGTGTTATCTTCTCACAGCGTATGTCACCGAATAAGCCCCACAACCTTCCAGAGGCTCCTGCCTGCACCCTAGCTCCCCCAGCCTCGGCTTACCCTGGCGCTAACCCAACTCCCGCCTGCTCCCCACCCCTGCCGCCAGGCCCCAGAACAGAAGGGCCTTCTGCATGATGTGCAGGGATGTTGTCGCTCTCATTTTACACGGAGGAAAACACCAGGGTCTGCAAGCTTAGGTCATGAACCCCAAACCCACAGCTACAGAAAAGCCAGACTTTGAACCTAGAAATACAAGAGCTGTGATGGGGAGTGGGAGGGAGGGTCTAGAAAAGACCTCGGGGTAAGGGAAACTAAGCTGGAAAACATGGTTTTGGTGGGACTTAAGCATCTGTGGGGCAGGGTTGGTGACCTTGGGAGACTGGCCTGCCCTGAGGGTGAGGCAGGTAACAAGTGCCAGCCTCGGGGGCCCCCTCCGGCCACTGAGCCCCTCCCAGGCCACTCTGTTACTGCTTGGAGCAGAGTTCACTTGTTCACTTGGCTGGAATTAGGACTGCGTCTCCAGGATCCTGAAAGTCAAGGCTCAGAAACCCCCTGTTTTAGTCCGTTTGTGTTGCTAACAGAATACCTGAGACTGGGTAATTTATAAAGAAAAGAGGTTTATTTGGCTTACGATTCTGGGACCGCTGCATCTGGCAGGGGCCTCAGGCTGCTTCTACTCATGGCGGAAAGCGGCAGGCAGCCAGCAGATACAAGCAGATCACATGGCGAGAGGAAGCAAGAGAGAGAGAGGAGGTGCCAGCGTCTTTTTAAGCAATGAGCTCTCTCGGGAACTAATAGAGCGAGAACTCACTCATTAATCCCTCCTCCCCCAGGGAGAGCATTAATCCATTCATGAGGGATCCGCCCCCATGACTCAGCCAGTTTCCAACACTGCCACCTTGGAGATCAGATTTCCACATGAGTTTTGGAGGGGACAACACATCCAAACTCCATCACCCCTCCCCCACCCACCGGGGTTAAACTCCAAGACTGGCGTCAAGGCTCTCTGGGAGTGGCAGCATCCAAGGGGCTTGGCTCCTGTGTCCTCACTCTGGACACCTCTGTCCCCGGGGCCGAGCTGTATCAGGGCATGAGAGGGCCCAGGGGAGGAATTCCCAGGCCAGAGTCACCACCTGGCCTGAGGCCTGCCACGTGCAGACACGTAATAACCGTGTGAGGCCTGGAGGTGGTGGGCACTGGACGGAAGTATGAATGGAACACAGCGTGGAGGAAAGCCTTGTGCCAACGCTGCTGTTCAGCATCTGTCTGTCTGTCCATCCAGCCATCCATTTTTGCTTTTTTTTAGAACTCATTCATTTGTCAACTCTAGCAGTTATCTATTGCTGTGTAACAAATTAACCCAAAATTAATGGCTTAGAGCCACAAGATTTGCCCTTTCACCATTCCTGTGGGTGAGGAATCTGGGTGTGTCTCTCACAGTCCACAGTCAAGCCAGGGCTGCGCTCGTCCCCAGGCTTGGCTGGAGCAGGATCCGCTTCTGAGCTCACTCGCAGGTCCTTGGTGGGGTTCAGTTTCTCCAGCTGTTGGCCTGAAGCTGCCTCAGATCCTTGCCAGGGGGCCTCTCACAGGGCAGCTCACAGCCCGGCAGGACAACGGTTGGAGCGAGCAAGCCCAGAAGAGCCCGTAAGCAGGAGCAGGACGAAGTTGCAGCCTCCTGAAGCCTGGTCTCAGATGGGACGTCCCATCACTTTCCCGCATTCTGTTTGCTAGAAGCAAGCAACTGGCTCCACCCGCACTCAGGGCTCGCACAGGACGGGATGACCTAGAGGCTGGGCGCCCACCACCAACTCCTACCCACCTACCCCGTCCCCAGCACACAACAATGCCACCAAGGACCCCAGGGCCCAGCCTCTCCTGAACTCATTCACTCCTCCCTGCCCCTCCCCCACCCCCAGGCCACGAGTGGGGCTACAGAGCACAGCAGGAGCACCTGGGACCTTGTTAGAAGTGCAGGCTGGTGAGGGTCCCACCCCAGACACAGGACTCAGAAACTCTGGGGGTGGCCCACAATCTCAGTCCGCAGCAAGTGCTCCTGGTGACGCGGATGCGAGGTAAGCTTTCAGACCTCACGGCCAGTCTCTGGTGATCTGGATGCACTTCAGTGAAGGCTCAGGCTACTCCTTGTCCCTGCCAAGCGGAAAGAAGCCTATTGCTGCTCCCGATGCAGAGTCTTCCCAAAGTCCCTCGAAGCGGTTGAGAAGCTGCCGGGGCGTGGCTGCGTGGCTCTCTCCTGGTCCACTGGGCCTCTCTTCCAGCTCAGGGCTCATTCGTATAACAAAGAGCTACTAGAGACAGGATTACAGCCCTCAATTTGGGACCTAGGAAGAGAAGCAGACAGCTGGGGCCAAGAGTGGGCCTACAGCTCCACGGAGCTTCATAATGTTTTTACAGTGTGTCTGTCACCCTAGATCTGGGGACTCCGATTCCTGTCATTTGCTTGTGGATGGCATCCACCCACTCCTCACAGCCAGCCTCGGTGTCTGTGTCCTCTGGGGCTCCACGTGTCCTCTGCCTTCCTGGCTTCCCAGGAGGGTCTGCCCCATGGGGCACTGCAGGAGTAAAATGCATCCCGTCCCCAGAACCCTGAGACCGCCATCTTCTACTCCTCCACGTTCTTTCCAGGCACCCCCATGTGGCCAAATGCACTTGTGAAGAGTCTCCACAGCTCGGGGAGCCAGGGAGGCTGCACAAGCCAGGGAGGAATGAAAGGAAATTGACCCCTGCCAGGAGCCAGATGCAGGACGTCACGTGTGGTGACTCATTTGATCCTCACACCCCTTGAGGATGAGGATTCCCATTTTCAGAGAAGAAGAAACTGAGGGCATCCCTAGGTGAGGAGGCCATGTGACATCTGGGGCATTCTGTCACCAGAGTCAAGAGCACCCCTTCTCTCCCGGGACTTGGGCTGTTTGCAGCAGGAGCCTCACGTGGGCAGGCAAATTAGCCCATGCCCAGGGCAACTGCCTGACCAGCAAGGGCCTCACAGGACCTGCCCTCTCTCCCCCTCACTACAGGCTTAAACCCAGGGAGCCCCAGGCCCTTTGGATCTGGCCCCAGAGCCCAGGCAGCCCATGGATGTTGCTTATCTTGGACTTTCCCTGGGGAGTGGAGCCGTGGGGCATCAGACTCCACCCGGCTGTGGCTGTCAGGAGGCCCCAGTCTCCGCGCTGTGCTGTGTGTGTGCACTGCTCCATATGCAGTCTGGGGTGCTACAAAGTTGGTGTTTGGACCCGGGTTCTGCTGGTTCAGAAGCTTGATTTGAGGCACAGTTCCCTTCAACATGGTTCAAACGAAACCCTGTCACTAGGAATTGTGCTCTGCTGCCAGGCGTGGAGTCCCTGCTACAGAGGCTCACACAAGCTACAGTTTATTCTCCATAAGAGAATGGATGATGCAGCCCGGGCCTGGCCAGCTTCCTGAAGCCACCAGCTGTCCCCATCCTCGACCTCTAGTGCACCTACCAGACAAGAGGGCACAGGAGCGGGGAGCCAGCCCCCGCCACAAGGGCGTTCAGGAAGCACCGCATCCCGCTGAGCTGGCTGCTCGATGGTTGCGTCAGGTCAGGTTGTCAGGTCCCTATTTCTGCCAGAGTGGCATATTCCTGGAAACGCACTTGTCTGATTGCAGAGGAGGTGCACTTCCCAGTGTCCAGAATGTGCTTGGCTTGCTCTTGAGACATCCCTTCTTAGAGCCAGTGTCTGAACAACAGGGCAATTGGCAAATAAGCATGGAATTAGGAAGGAGGGAAGGACAGGCTTGTGAGAATGTGGCCAGCCTCGCCAGGAGCCTCTGTGTGCCCTGCTGCGCTTTGCTGGGGAGCAGTGTACTCAGGTCACTCCCTCATCCCTCATGCTGTCCCTCAGCAACTGCACACTGAATAGCGGCCATGAGCAGGACTCAGTGCAGTGCGATGGGGACAGCAGTGGGCCCACCCTCTAGGATCTCGCTGTATGCTGATGGAGGAAGGACACATAGTGGCTGGAAAAGCACACAGCAATCCCTACGCTGGAGGGAGGGATTGGGGAGGACTTGGGGCGGCTTCAGAGCTCACTGTCCAGTGCCGTTCTGTCCCTCGAGTGCCCTTGGCTGCTCCCTGCCACCCCCGCTCTGTCCCCTGCCCTCTTCAACGGAGCCATCAGGCCTCCTGGGCAGGACAAAGGGGCCCCGTGTGTCTGTACCATGCCTGGAGGTGCTCCTGTCTGTCCGTCCACACAGGCCTGCAGCTCTTGATTCGTGTCCATTTTACTCACTTTTGCACTGTACCGACCTAGTGAGGAGGCATCTTGTGAATAAAAGGTGGTGAATGGTAGCTTCTGACGCTCGGGCCTGCCAGGCAGTACAGGCGGAGCTCAGACAGGTCTGAATACCTCTTGTCTCCAACTCTGTGTTCTCCTATTTGCTTTCATCACTAACCTGTCTGTTTTTGAGATTATGATACATTTTTAATGGGTTGCATCCTGACATTTTAATTTTATAAGCGAGCAATTTCCAAATAAGAAATACTATAGGATGTAAAGATTGTATTTTCTTATTTAATTCCAATTTGGGAAGGGACATTTTCTGTCATCATCCCAAATTCCAGGGCCAAGCTGACGGCCCCGTTTGCTGATGATAAGTTACAGCATTTTAAACCATGGGAGTGTTACTGGGGTTAGGGCCCCAGTACAGTACCATCATCTTTGATTTGGAAGAGAACTTCTCTGATTGTCGATTGGGTACCCAGGAGCCCTGCATTCTGACTGACCCTTGTCTGGAGTAAATCTCTGTTTCCTTAAGAAGGATTACTAGAGTCTGCAGGCTCCGACAGGAGCTGGTTTTCCTGGAGGTTGGCCAGGCCCCTGTGCCTCTGCTCTTGTGCCAGGGTGGCATCTCCTATTACTGGTAGTTGTAACACATTGTTGGTGGTGTTTTGTAGAGTGTGTTCTCCAGAGAGGGAATCCCACAGAGCAGGGATCCTGCTCATGCTGATGGGCCCCCCACTCCTGGTCTCCTGCACCCTGACCCCCGACCCTCCTTCTGTGGATCTGGCTTTTCTCCCACACCCCTCACCCCTGGCCAAGGCTGTACCCCCCTCACTAAGGGCAGCACCAGGTGCCGGGCCCAGGAGCCTTGAAAGCTCTCTGCAACGCCCAGCGTGGCCATCAACTTGGGCTCCCACCTCTTCCCTGCCAAAACTCCGCACTGACACTGTCCAGGTAGTGAGGCACTTGAGGGAATTCGGAGGTAAGAAAAGCTCTCTGTCCTCGAACAGTCTTCAGTACAATGGAGGACTAAACAATTGAATATATCATCAGGCAGGATGAAAACAGGACTGCAGGGTGTGGAGCCGCATGCCCGTGCTGTCAGAGTGCGGAGGAAGGCGGGACCAACCCTGACCGGGAGGGGACTGCCCAGAGCAGGACGAGGAGGAAGGTTTCATGGAGTGAGGACCGAGAAAGCGTGATCGAGGCAGTAGAGAGCTGCCAAGGCCCAGGCCATCTTCCTGTGACAGTGGCCGCTGTCTACGCAGCACTTATGTGTGCCACATGCTGGGCACACATTATCCCCAGTCTTTAAAACAACCTACATTCACACCAAAATCAACACCAAGGACCAAGCTCTTTCCATCTGCCACACTGAGAAACTAGCAGAGTCAGGAGGCCGGGCAGGTGTGGAGCGGCCGCGGGGGCAGGCAGGGCAGCCGGCTGGGAGCTGCAGCTTGGCAGTCACGGTGCTCCCCAAGAACTGTGTATGGGATAATGAAGGGAGGGACGGAGGGTAGGAGGGAGGGTCCTGTTTCATTTTTTGGACAGTGAAGAAGAGAGTGTCCAAATGCAAGCTCTGTTTGAGGAACATGGCTGTAGCAGCCATCACTGGGCTGTGGAGAGGGTGACGTGGGGCTGCCAAGGAGGACGGCGGTAGGTTGTTGACCACAGAGTGGGAAAGGCGGCTGACAGATCCTCAGGGTGGGGTGGCTGGGAGGTGAGGGAGGGGACATCAAAGGCAGCCCCAGGGCTCCTGAGCCGTGTGGCTGGGTGATGAGGACACGTGTGCGCGTGAGATGGGCACTGCTTCTGAGCTCTTCAGTGCACGCCCCACCGGAGGAAATGCATTTCACATCTGACCCAGTACACACACACACAACATGTACGACAAACCAAGTTTTACAGAAACGTCTTCAAGCTCACTGTGAGCCAGGCACACTGAATTGTTCCAATTGTTCTAAGGAATTGAAAAATCTGATTGCAACCTCTAGATTGATTTCAGAACCAACTAATGGATTGCAGCTAATGGAAAGCACTGCAATAGGGAGCGTGGCGGCAAGCTGGCCAGGGGGATTGGGTGGAATGGTCCAATTTTGATTATGTTGAAGAGCATCCCAGGGAAAAGACCAACGGCCCCCTTCCCCCTGCCCCCTCTCTCCCTCGCAGACAGGAAGATTTCTGGGGGAGGTGGACGGTGCTCTCATGACGCAGCTGCTCAGCATGGGGGTGTTCACACAGTAAGTGGGACACACTTCTCCCCAGTCCAAATAGAGCAAAGGCAAGAGCTGATGCTAAGCAGTCCAGACACATCTCCTGACCTCAAAAACCCATGGTGAAAGCCCCACAGGGCTCCAAATCCAACCTTTCTGGAGCCAGGGACTCGACACGAGGGGGAAGGCAGGAGATCATGTGGCCCTCCCTGGGAGGGGCCCCAGCCCAGCCCTTGGAGGGGAAACCACCCAACTAAAGGGCAAGCAACTTGCTGGTCACTCTCCTTACACACTGAAGCACAGAAACATGATGTTCAGCATGTGCTGTCTTCACATCTGCTGTCTTCCCCATGCACCCTCCTGCATGCTGGTGAATGGAAGCCCTGCTAGCAAACCCCCCCAGGCAGGGGCAGGACAGGGGTGGTCCTCCTCTCGCCACATCCTGTTTGTCATTTTCAGAGTGACCATGTATGACTACCAGGCCATGTGCAAACTCCCAAGTCACCACCACAGTGCAGCTCAGCCCCTGATCAATGTGAGTGTCACCTCGGACCCCCTGCCAAACTCTTGTCCTCTGCCCTGTCCCACCCAAATGAGGTCACCTGGCCCCTGTTCCCACCCTGCCTGACTGCAGCCTCTGCCCCTGCCCCGCCAGGCATTGGTAAAATCCAGAGAAGAGCAAAGAGCCTCTGACCCCATCTCCAGTGCTCCCACATCCTGGGGGCCTGGGCAGCTCAGCCCAGTAGGGGGAGAACCTGGCCAGTCTTCCAAAGGCCATGTTCTCTGGTTGTCATCTAAGGGCTGTGCCGAGGGGAGCCCCTGGCACTTGGTCCAGGCATGAATGCATGTGCTCTCTCTTCCCAGCCGGTCTCTGCCTTGCTGATAGCTACCAGGTGGCTGATGAGTGAGCTCTTGCTGTGAGTGTGGGTTTGGGGTTGGGTGCTGGAGGCTGGGGCTTATGAGGACATCATCTGCAAGGTCTCCAGACCCTAGAGCAGGAGGGCAGGGTCCCTGCTTACTGCCCCTGGGAGGGACCTCTCTGCTCACTCTGGGACCCACCAGCAGGGAAAGGGGTGTCCTGGAGGAGAGGGGGTGGCCTAGGGTCCATGGGGGACTCCAGCCTCCTCAGGGCCGGGAGCATGGAGGGTTCCGAGATCCAGCTCTGTGCCTACAGGTTCCTGTTGGAGTGGAGCACCTGGGGCTCCTGGCACCACGGAGGGGCCGAGGGTGAGTCCGTGCAGTGGGCATGCAGTGGGGAGGGGCCTCTGAGGCCTTCACTGCTCATGTGTTGCCCTGCTCTTGTCACCCTCCTCACCTGTGTGTGACATCACCTCACCTTGGACACCACTGCTCCATGTGGCATCATCACCACCCTGTGACACCTGCCCTCGTGTGACACCACACCCCCCATGCCATGTCCTCCTGTGCCGGCTCCCGTCTGGGCAGCCAAGGCTGTCTTCCATCACTGTAAGTAGCACCCGCCGAGGAGGTCCTGGCTGGCCCCACGGGGTGGGGGCGCAGCGCAGCGGAGCGGCTGAGGGCTGCCCTCAGTGCCACCTCCCAGGATGGAAGCCAGGAAAGGCTGCATTCTCTTCATCCTGGGACACCCCTGAATCGGGGGACCCTGAGCTCCTTGCCCCGTTCACAGCACCATTCCTGGGGGTGTGGGGACTGGGGAGGCGAGCCAGATCTCATCTCACACAAGGACAGTCCTGCCCCAGGGAAAGTGAAAAGCTCCAGCGTTTCCTTGGGTGGTCACACCTACGATTCCAAGAGGAAGGGGTGATGTGATCCAGGGAACGTGGCCAGGGGCAGGCGGGCAACTGCCAGGTCACCCTCTGGAGAAGAAAATGGCACCGCCAGCCCGCAGCAGGGCTCCAGATTAGAGGGAGTGGCCATCAGGAAGCTCTCAGGATGACACCCCTCTAGTCACCTGTGTCTGAGGGACACAGTCCCCCAAAGGCAGGCGCAGGGTGGGACGGTCCCAACACAAAGCAAAGAAACTGCATCCTCCCTGCCTGCGGCTCTCAACCACACCCCAGGAGGGTGACAAGGCGGGTCTCACCCCCACTCCCTGCGGGACTCAAGCTCCCATCACCCTCCAAGGCTCCTCGCTTTAGCCAGTTTTGCTCAATGCCTCCATGTTAGGAGAACATTTTCCAGGGGGTTCTGGAGCTCCCCATCACCCAGGCTGCCCCCGCCCTGCTCTGTCTTTTTCTGAGTTTGGCTTCTGGTGGAACGGTCTCCCCTGCTCTTCTCTGTCTGGCTGCTCTTCTCTCCCTCCTTCCCACCCCGGCCTCCAGCGCTTGGCTCACGTGGCCCATTCCCTGCACGTCTCCAGCCTCCTCGTGGAGATCCCACCCCATGGGCTGCTGTGGGGACAGCTCACAGGCACTTGGTGTTTGTGACAGGAACCAGAAGCATGTGTCACAGCCCGTCTAGAAACAGGCCCCTCTTCCCCTCTGCAGGGGAGCACAGCACGTTACAGGGGGACACTGCTCCCCTCCCTGTCTTCTCTCTCGGGGAATGGTTTCCCTCCCTCCGGGCGGCTGTCCCTCCCTCCCAGCAGGCCTGGCCTGGTCTGACTAGGCGTCAGTGTCCTCAGGGAAAGAGTGCCAGCCAGGAGAGTAGGCACTACTCTGTGACCTTGGCAAGGCCACTCTGTCCCATCCTTGTAACTGTTATCACTGAGATGAACTTCCCACGCAAAGTAGCTCAAGTGACAGGGAGACAGGCCCAGCTCTGAGACAGGCCCAGCTCTGAGCCAGCCCCCACTGGACACCAGGCCAGTGTGACAGGGCCCTGGGAGGAAAGGATCCAGGTCCTGAGGCTCCTGCAGGCTCCTGAGGGGCCCAGAGCAGGGAGCACCCAGCAGTAGCCCTTAAAGGCCAGCGCATATGTGTGCGGGACCCCCGGCTGGACACTGCAAGGGTTTTCCCTCTCAGTGAGGGTTTGTCTGCCTGTGGACTGGCCTCCCCTCTTGGTTTCAAGGTCTGCTAGGAAGTTTCTGGGTCTGGGAGTTAAGGAGACCTATAGCTGTCCTACTAAACCCTGTGTGATGCTGTGAGAGTAATGCCATGTCTGTGCCTCCCTTTACAAGCCTATAAAATGGGGGCAACCCTGCCTGCCCTGCTGTTTCACAGATGGTAGGCCACAGAGCAGAAGGAAAGGCGTGGGGAGTGCTTCGAAGAAACAGGGGTGCTGTGCAGACGTCCTGCAGCCTGTGTGCTGGTCTTATCCTGCTTTTTGCTCATCTCGGGGTAACCCTGGCAGGAGCGGACATGGGTTCTCCAGAGCAGGGCTGCCAGGGACTCCACTGCTCCCCTGTCGTGGTCTTAGTGTGCTGAAGTGTGTCACACAGACATCTATGAGGAGTCCAAAATGCCAGAGGCTGGGCCACTGGGGCCACCTGCTCAGCTCGCCCCGCTGGCAGTCAGTGGGAGAGCCTAGGCCTGGCCACAGGGATGGGAGAGCAGGGCCACAGTGTTAGCGACACTTGAGAAAATGGGCACAGGTATGTCCACGATGAAGGGAGGGGTGGTGGAATTAAGGAGGCTAAAGCCCCCCCAGCCCCCCTTGGCACGCCCCTGCGGCCTCTGTTGTCCTCTCAGACACTTGGGATGTCAGTGCTGGAAGGAGCCTCCCAGATGTGCACTTCCACCCCCCAGCTACAGTGAGGAGGCAGCTTCCAAGACAGGCCGTGCTGTGCCACAGTCACAGGGCTGCAGTGTCAGTCACACACAGCTGAAACCCAAGGCCGCTGCCACCCAGCCTGCCACGGCGCCACCCGCTTCTTCGGTTACTCTCTGTTCTTCTCCCTCCCCTTTCTCCCACCCAGCCCTTCTATGCCCATCCTGCGAATGTTCTAACAAGGAAGCCATCTGCAAAGGGACTTGGGGGGTGTCTCACTGTGTAGTGCTGCCCCAGCCCTGGAAGCACTGAGGCTGTGGTCACCTCAGGGGATGGCTTTTGAGGCCCCTTCCTATTCTGTGCCGCCCTTCCTCACGTCCATGCCTCCGTCTACCCACAGCCCACAAACACAAGAAACAGGACCTGCTGCAGCCCTGTGACACGGAGTACCCTGTGTTTGTACACCAGACGGCCATCCAGGAGACCAACGGGATCATTGAGTGCGGGGCCTGCCAGAAGTAAGACCCGCAGGAAGCTCTACCTTTCCCCAACTGAGGAGTACATCCTTCCCTCCCCTGGCAAGACAGATATCCAAGCAGGGCATCTGTCACTCAAGAGAGCGGCCTCCACTGTAGGGAGGAAGGAGGGGGTGATGCTTTCAGTGAAAGGTCACACTCCTGGGGATCTTTCTTTCCCCCCAACTCTCCTTAGTGGAGGAAATGCAGGCAGAAGCAGAAGGCATGAGAGGAGGAGGACAGCTGGGGACACTGGACGGTTTGGTGTGCCGCAACAGGGGAAATGGGAACGGTGGTCCAGAGGCCAGCTCCCGGGTCAGGGAATCCACCCCCTCCCCAGGCCCCCCAGCCATGATTGCATGGCCTGTCCAGGTGGCCCCTTCAGGCTTGCCCCATCATGGCTGCTTAGGCACAGGCCAACCTACAGCAGGCTGTTGTCAGGATCATGACACTCGGCCCTGTCAGCCAGACCTTGGAAGGCAAGGGGAGATTTGCGAAAGGACACAAGGCAGCTCTCCCTTGGAATCTGTCCTATGCAGAGAAGCAGAAATGCAAGCATGTTCTCGGGGACAGTGGGGCTGGGAGCATCCTGGACCAGCCTCCTGTGTTGTCAGACCCCCTCTGGCGTCGCCACTCCCAGGCCTGGGCCTCTTAGGTAGGAGCATCATCAGGCCCTTGGATCCAACCAGCTCTTCCCAGCCCTGGCCCAGGGAGGCAGGGAGGCCTGCCTGAAGGTCCTCTCCTGCTGGCCTCCCACCCCCAAACCTCAGAGGATCCCACCTGGGGAGTTCTGTCTGGGCCAGGGAGCCTCGTCCAGGTGCTCCCTCAGCCAGACCTGCCATTCACCAGGGGCTGCCAGCATCCCTGGACCTCGAGCAAATTATTTCATAGTGTGATGCCTCAGACCGATTCAGGTTTCCACCCCTTCCTAGTGTGTAATTCTGGGTGGGATTTTGACCTCATCAAAGCTGTTTTCTTGGGACTATTGTTATTTGTGCACTTATCTCAAAGGCTTGTGAAGATAAAGTCAATGGTATGATGTAAAGCAAGAGCTTTACAGTAGACAGACTTGAGTTTGAATCTGGCCCTGAGACTTCCTAGTCCTGTAACATCTGGCAAGTTACTTAGCCTCTGCTAGCCTCAGTTCTCTCATCTACAAAATGGCAACAGTACCACCTCCTCTGGTACTGTAAAGGTTAAACATACACATATTTCCGTGTTGTGTGTATATATATGAGTGTATGTGCGTGAAACCCCCCACCCCTGGGAAACCCGCAGTCGGTGGCAGCTGTTGTCAGAAGACACCCCAGGCCTGTGCATGCTGGGCTTCCCTGGTCCCTTGCCCGCCCTCTTCGCAGGCCTCGGGTGGTGTGCGGGGCCTTGGTGCCACCTTGTGGCCAGGCCTGAGCACTGCATCCTCCCCACACGTCTGCTCCCACACCCCCACCCAAAGCAAGGATAGATGCGCATCCACACTTGCTCAGAACAGTCCTGTTGTCCTCGCGTATATTAAGAACAACTCCTTTCACTCTCAAAAATGTACCCATTTGGACTTCCTCACCTCCCATCTGCCAGGAAAGGAGAAATGCAACTGCAAAGGCTTGTGGCGGAGGCGCCAGTAGGACTGAGCCATCTGCCAATGACGCTGCCCCATCTGAACTGCCCCAGGTTCTCTTCCTTCCACTAGCCACCCCAGCTCCACACTACAGGTCTCCAGAAGTTCCTTCCCTAGGAGCCCTTCTTGTGGTGGCTGCCCAGCCTGCCGTGGAGAAGCCCACAACCCCACATCTCTCTTTACTGCAGGACATTTGTGATGCAACAGATTCCCAACAGTAACCTCCTCCTCCTGGTGACAGACCCCACCTGTGACTGTAGCATTTTCCCGCCAGTCCTACAGGAGGCTACAGAAGTCAAATATATCCTTGCAGTCCTCCAGGATGTGTGGGGACGGGAGGGATGGAGGTGCAGATGTCATTGAGGGGCTGATTTTAAGCAGCTGAGGCCAGACACCCTCACCACCCCCTCCCAGTCCCCCAGCCCCTGGGTGCTGCCTCTAGTCTCACCAGGGGTGGACTCCTCCAGACCACAGACCACAGTCTCCGGTCTCCAGAATCGCCTCAGGTTGTGAGCTGTTGACCTTAACAGTGAGTTCTGCACATAATGCCTCTGTCAAGTGTGACAGGATGCGCTCCCAGAAGCTCCGCCGGAGACCAGATTCCTGCCATGCCTTCCATCCAGAGGTGTGGGGCTGAGAGGGGCCTGGGGAGCGGGGCTTGTTCTTCATCCCCAAATGAGTACATCTGGATACTGATGAATACAACTGCATCTCAGTGGGAAACATCCATACACACGCATCCACGTTTACCTTGCGTGATATTGTGATACAATAAGAAATAATGTATGTGGTCTTCCTCCCCATTCCTGGCACAGAGCTCCTAAAACTCTTGGAGTTCCCTGGGTAATAGGGGTGATAGGAGTGGCTTCTGTTATATTTGGTCTTAGTTCCTGGTTCCTGACACAGTGCTTCTAAGCCCCTTGGAATGGTAAGAGTATCTTTTTGCATGCTAATCAGATGGCTGATGTCTGGGGGCCCTAGGTAGCTTCAGGATGGGGCTGGTCAGCAGAGACAAGGCAGGATTAGAGGGCTGGAACTTTCAGCCCCGCCCCGTGACTTCTGGGGAAGAGAGGGGAGCTGGAGATTACCAGAAGTTGATTACCAGTGGCCAATGATTTAATCAGTCATGCCTACATAATAAAACCTCTGTAGAAACCCTGAACAATAGCGTTCAGAGCTTCCAGGTAGGTGAACACATCCATATACTAGGAGGTGGCACTCAACAAAGTTCATGGAAAGATTCATGTTATCTTTTAATTCAATTTTTCCATGAACTTTCTGAAGTGCCCTCATACACTGGTATTAGTAAGGTTCATGGGAACCTGGCCCAGGCTGTCAGAAGTATAGGGCCCTGGACTTGCAACTGTCTGAAGTGGGGATAGTCTTAGGTGCTGAGCCCTTTAACCTGTGGGATCTGATGCTATCTCCAGGTAGACAGTGTCAGAACTGAATTGTAGGACACACAGTTCGTGTCCAGAGAGTTGAAGTACTAGTTGGTGTGAGAAGGAAAACCCGCACTCATTTGGGGTCAGAAGCTGTGTTGTAAAAACACACCAGAGGCCCCATGTCATTAAAATATTAAGTCAACCAGGATCCAAGTGTGCTTTTACAAAGCACCACATTTCCTAGGGTTTGGGCCTAGGTGAATTAAAAGTTTCCCCATATTGTCCTCATTCCTTCTATGTGTAGCTCCAAATGATCTGGGCAAGGGAGAAAACCATTATATATGTGACAGTAATAGTGACTGGATTTATCAAGCGCCAGATACCCACAAATTGGGCCAGAGCTGGGTGCTTTACACACAAGTATAGTACTTGCTGGGCATGGCCACAAATAGTTCACACTAGAGATGCTTCCAGAGTTGATGATGTCCCATGACATTCTACGAGGATGACCCCACTTCCTCTCCGAGAGGGGGACAAGCAGAGACAGCCATGAGCCCAGCCCTGGTCTGAGCATACAGCCTCCACTTTCCCCTGAAAGGTGGGGGTCTAAAGAAGGTGGCAGTACTGCCTCTGCTTTCCCAAACTGCCCTCTCTCTCAAGCTTTTGTCCCCCATTGGTCCCACAGGACACCCCTCCCCTGCACCCCCCGTCGTCCTACTTGCTTCATTCAGCTGGGTTGGTTACCAAGGCTGTGAATGCTGCCCTCTCATCTATGTTCTGGGTTCACAGGAGAACGCCCAGGACTGTGGTGGCACCTCAGACACCTCAGCTTCACTCTCCCTGCTCCTTCTGCCTCTGTGTGCCTGGGTGCTGCCACCCCAATTTCTGCGGTGATCCCCAGCCAGCCTGACGGCTCTCTCTTAACATGGTGATCGATCCTTCCGAAGACATTCTAAGAAGGCAGCAATTGACGTGAGATCCAACTCACTATTGCTGGGCTCTCACCTAGGCCAGCACTTATTTAGCTCCATCTGGGGCTGAGAGAGAGAGAGAGAGAGAGAGAGAGAGAAGGCAAGAGAGTAAGCAGAAATGGGAAAAAGCGAGAATAGGAATAGGTATTAAATCCTCTTCAGAAACATCAACATGGCTGCCTGTGATGTCCTCAAACTGTTGATATTAAAGAACTTCTAAAAACTTCTTTATATAACCCTAACTGAAAAGAAATTTTGCATGTAAGAAGCCAGTAGGCTGAGATATAGAGCTGCTGCACTGGAACAAAATGCCATACGATCGGGGGCGGAGGCAGAAGTGGCTGCAGAGCGTCCCTGTGAAGAGCAGTGCTTGTACAGTGGCATGGTGAGGGGTCTCCTGAGCGCTAGCTCCACACTCCCCATGAGGTCCCATCACAGTCTTTTCCTGACCATTGATCTACAAAACAAACAACTTGACTCTGTCCCTGGGGTAAAGTCCTCGGGGTTGGAACTTTGGGGAACATTCCCATTTTCAAAGCAGAGTCCACTGGGAAGGGAACTGTATCTGGGAAGTCATCCCCACTGCCCCACCACACATACACACACCCCTCCCCCAGGGTCTAAAGCCCTGGAACTTCCTCCTCCCCAAACCCCCAGACCTGGATCCCAAGAGACAGCAGTCTCCACTGGGAAGAACCATGTAGAAATTCTGGGGTGGCCTCAGATGTTTAACCAACCTCCAATGAGGAGGCCCAGCTGAGCTCCACAATGCTTGCTGTGGACAGCATGCAGGGCCTCAAGAGGACCCTTCTTCCCTATCCTCCACCACCTTCAGCCCTCCACATTTCAAAGTACAAGCTGTTCAACTTTCCCACCAGCAAACAGTCCTAGCTTCTCTTGGAATAGGCTAACTCTGTAACAAACACATTCATTAAATTCATAACGTGCCTTACATTATAGATTATACAATGTTACTTTCATTAATTTAAGTCTCACAACAGTCATGTGAGACAGGTATTAATGGCCCCATTTACAGCTGAAGAAACTGAGGTTTGGAGAAACCAAAAGTGTCAGAATAATGCTAGTAACAACTGAGGTTTACATATACAGTTAAGAACATGTATTAACTCATTTAATCCTCACAGCCCTAGGAAGTCCCATCTTATACGCAGGGAAACTGAAGCACAGACAGTTGAAAATTGGCTCCAAATTACTGGAAGAGTAAAGATTGAATGTGATATATTCATATAATGTGCCTAAACCGCCTGGCATGTAGTAGGCACCAAATGCATTTGAACTACTATTATTATATTTCCTTGTTTCATGGAGGTGGGGACAAACAAATTACAGTTCGGATACCAGGAATAATAAAGGTTGTAGGTGCCTCCTGGCCCAGGTGGGTTAGAAAGCAGCAGGGAGCCCTTTCTCCAGCTCCCTTGGCTGCCACAGCTCAGAGCTTCCCCACTGTTGCGTCATGAAGACCTACTTGTGACAGGCACGGCAAAATGAGCTCCGGCTGGCCCTGCTGTGGCCATGGCCACCCCCATGCCTTTCTTTGGCATTAATAAATGTTCTAACCTCCAACAGCATTTGATCTCACCTATTGACTCACAGACACCAACTGCTAGTCTCTCTCCAGAACAATAACCCAGCGTCTTTTGGAAGGCTCATCTTCTCTACCCAACCAGGGAGAGCATTTTCAGGCAAATTTATCAACTCTCTTGGCCATTAAAAAGCCAAGCTCAGGAAGTGCTGGGGCAGCTCCTGGCCTTGTTTTGTTGGCTTAATCAGGGCTCAACATCTCTGCCTGTCCAAGGGTAGACTATAACATCTGGACATCCCCTTCAGAACCAGTGGGAGGAAAAACCATTTCCGATCAACTAACCCTGCTCTTCTCTACTTTGGAGAACAGAATATTCTCAGTTTTGCCTTTGAAGGGCAGAACTATTCTTCCTCTTTTTAACAGAAACACTAAAGGACAGCAGGTGGCAGCCTGACCTTGATTTCAGAGGAGCAAAGTTGGAAGCTGTCATTTCACAAACTGGAGTACAGAATTTTGAAATCTCTCCTTATAAATGTTGTACACCTTTGGATGACCAAGAGTTCAAGGATGTTGTCAGATCCCCCTTCTTCAGTACCAAGGATATATTAACTACTGTATCTACCTAATAATTTTGTATTTTAATAGAAGCACTTTCAGGTAAAATACCTCAACCACTTCATAATGCTAAGTGAAGGTTTGGTTCAGGAGGGCAAGGGAGTGGTCATACCTGAAGGTCAGAAAAGTAGATGTGGGGGTGAGGAGGCAGACCAGAAGACCACAAAAGGAATTAGAGCAAGGGTTTAGCAGAAACACCAGCCGATCACTATGGGATGTTTGAGAAATGCTGACCTGTCGAGCCACAGCATCTCGGTTTATTTTTAACAGGTGAGAACGCTGAGGCTAGGGAAGTAAATAGCTTCTTGCCTACATTATATGGTAAATGGCAGAACTGGGATATGAATGTACCTCTTAAAAGCAGGGATGGTAGGATGACAGTGATGTGTAGCAGGATCCCCGGCTTCCTTGGCTTTTCCCACTCCCTGATCGCCATCAGCAGCAGCAGCAGCAGCAGCTATGCGAGCAAGCCAGACTGGCTTTGTTTTCACCAAGTCAAATGGTTGAAGGCAGAACAAATTCATACATGAGATGGGACATGGGGGGTGGTGAGCAATTAGTTCATGCCCACTGAGGAAAGAACACAATGGAACATGCTACACCTAAAAAAGCAAAATATTCAAGAAAAGGATGCTGTTTCTGGGATAACTTTAAAGCAACATTGCCCAGAGGCTTCTCTAGGGGACCCAGAGCCCTAGCATTCTATAAAGTCAAAATTCAAATTTATCCATTTCCTGTAGAATATCCACAGGACACCACCTGAGAAACGGACATATAGACAGCTTTCAGGCAAGAGAGTAGGAAAGAACAAAGTGGGTTATTTGTAGGCCTTAGCTTATTTTTTTGTCAAAGGCAGGACAGGATCCAGTGTTCTATACCTGAATAACACATGGGGAACCCCTAAAGCTGCATCTATACTTAAAAATGAGAATTCTGAATGGACATATTAACCACATACTGTAAACTTCCTTGCAAAAACTAAATTTACGGGGCCGGCCCGTGGCTCACTCGGTAGAGTGCGGTGCTGATAACACCAAGGCCGCGGGTTCAGATCCTACATAGGGATGGCCGGTTTGCTCACTGGCTGAGCGTGGTGCTGACAACACCAAGCCAAGGGTTGAGATCCCCTTACCGGTCATCTTTAGGAAAAAAAAAAAAAAAAAAAAAACTAAATTTACTCAAAGCAAAAGGGTTGGGATTTCCTCTTCTTAAATTACATGGAAGGGACCAGGTTGACAAAACCAAAAACCTTTGTCAATATATGTGAGACAAACCAAATATGAGACATCAGAATAATAAACTCAGGTACAAAAAAAGCAATTTTCTCCTCAAATTTTCTTTTTCACTCTTTTCTCCAAGAAAGAGTAGTGGCACTAGAGTGAGACAAACTTTCTAAGCTTCAGTTTCTTCATCTATAAAATCGGAGTGAAAATAATACTAACTCACAGGGGTTATTATTATGACTATATGAGATTATCGATAGTTCTTTAACACATCCCTTGGCATAAAGTGCTTGTTATTATTTTTATAAACTTTAATAATAAATTAAGGACCGCCCCTTAGAGTTAGCTCTGCCCTCCATTCTAAACCTGGTCCAAGTTACAATGAAAGCATAAGAAGGAGTTGGGAAAAGTGAGTTGGGCATAAGCACCTTGATTGTGCATTCAGAATGGGAAGTTTCTGAAAATTTCTTAAACTTCAGCTTCTAAATTAGGGCTTTAAGGAAGTACCAAAAGTTCAGAGGTAAGCTGAAAGAGGTTGCTTAAAAAAAAAAAAAAAACACACAGACAAGTTCAATAATCCATTTGGTTCTTTTTATTAGAAGAAATTGAGAATACAGCAAGTAGGGAACTCCATGGTGAATGTAACCACCCACCACATAGATGCCTTGCAGGAACCCCAACCTTCTATGATACCCAAAAATGTGCTTTGTGGCTTCAGCAATTTATAAAGGGGAAGGGGGAAAATACTGAAAAAGGCCACTATTTAGTCGTGAAAGAATGAAGCTGTAGAGGTCCTAACCAGCCTAGGGCCAAAAAAGAAAATTAAAAATCTGCACAAAGCAAGCAAGCCTCTGACTGCTGAGAGTAAGGCATTCAGGCGCCAACCTGGTGAGAGTTCTCAGCGAGCACTGTCAGATCAAGTGCACATTGAGGCTGTTGGTAGTGAGTTGCATGTAGACGCACACATATAAATGGGCACACACATACACACCCAAAAGAGGGAGATTTTTACTGGATTACACATTAGTGATGTAATTTCATTTTTCCTAAGGGTTTGTGCTATGTCGAACCAGATTCTTCCTGTTTTAGGGTGTGGGGTGACTGGGCCCAGAGACTGCTACTTCCGTTGCTGTTACAGGGCTGCATCTTCTACCCTGTGTCCCAAAGAGCATGACCAAGAGCAAATCTGGCTTCTGATATGTGCTGTTGTTCCCATGAAGCTAAGTGAGCATCCTTCCAGATGGCCACTGTCCTGCTGGACTATGTTTTCTCAAAGGCATTAATACTGTTCTTAATTCTGGCAGGCACTGCACCAATTAACCACTCGGTCTTCTGCTCAGTCCACCTAGCACCCAGGGCAGTGACCTTATCTAGAACCCAGAATACTCTTCTGTTTATCCTAAGTTCTACATGGATTTTTTCTTCCTGGATCCCAGCTTTTGCTGGAGATTAGAAGGGGAAAGAAAGGAGAAAAATAACCAAAAAAACTCTACTGAATAAACAGGACACCCTTCCCAATTCTCAAACCCAACATTTGAGGATGCCAGCCCCTACACTTAGGGCCCCCGTGTTTAGTTCTAATACCCACAGTCCCCAGGGTATAACATAACTGCCAAAGTCTTGGATGACAGTAACCTAAGACTCTGGTGCTATTTTGGTAGTTTACCTATGAGCCAAGATCAGAATTCTATGAACCAGATCCTTCCCCCGACCACTCTTCCTAACACCATGACAAGGTAGCCCTGGGACAAGAGCATTATTTTTCACTTGTAGCAGCGATTCAAAAACATGTACTTAAGGATTCTATCGGACTCTCTGGCAATGACATACCATCTCCTTTTAAAGCTTCACACCATGCTATCTTTGCACAGCGGGGCTCAGTGAGTGCTGACAACTTCACGGGAGGTACTGTGCCTGCTTTACAAGCTGAGGTGTCTGTCACGTCTAGGCTTACCAAGACAGTGTGCCTGAGGCAAAACTCATCTTTCCTGTTCCAAAGGAAGGATTCTTCCCACCTATGCAAATGAGCTCAGGAGGAACCTGGACAAATCGGAACTTCATTTGTGGCTGGCTCCATGCCAGGGAAAAGTCAATTTTTATACCCAGGGGGAGGAAGGATACTTAGAGCAGTGATTTTTAATAAAGGGAAGTTTACAGGGTATTCCAGAGTTCCACAGCAAGGATGTGGGAAACTATCACATCTCTCTAACCAGATAAGAATTATCATAGGGCTAGCCAGTTAGCTCAGCTTGTTAGAGTAAGGTGCTGATAACACCAAGGTCCAGGGTTCAATCCCTATACCAGCCAGCTACTAAAAAAACAACAAAAAAAAGAAGTATCACAAAATTGAACAGTATGCCAGGAAGTAATCAGATCAGCTACTGTGCTAATGATTCCAGAGCTCCTCCTTTGTCTCCACCACCTCTTTACCAGCATAAATGGTAGGAGTAGGTAGCTCTACTCCTTAGAGAAAGGGTCACTATCAGCCTACACGTCCATCTCTCAAATGACACCTTATCTAACACATCCTGTCAGCCATTCATGTGCTGCTTCCACTGAGAAAACACATACCACTTCCCAATATCTCAGCCCTCCCAAAGGCTCTCAGGCTTGACAGTGGTTGTGTGATACCTGGGCCGGGGCTATATTCTCTGCCCCACTAGGGTCCAAGGTATGTCAGCCTTTAGAAGGCACCTTAGTGCACCAAGACATTGTACATTCTGGGGCTATCACCTGATCCTCCTAGAGTTACTTTGTGCAAAATTGAAACAGTGTGTGGTACTAGCATGTTTCATTCTATACAAAAATTCTCCCTCCCTCCCCTACCCATTTTAAACATTTATATAAATTCTTATTTAAACAGTAAGTTAGAAATCTTATTTACATTAATTTCTTTGTTCTTCCAAAAGAGGTTCTAAAATCACACTCCCACACTTAATTGGATATAAATGTTCACCTAAATTGGTTTGTACTATTGTTTTAAGGAGAGAGAAAGGGAGAAGAAAGAATCACCAGCTAAACTGTTTCCCCATCTTCTACAAATAAATATAATACGGATCAGAAGCCAGTTTGCCAAGGGTCTTGCAGTAGAACCCACGAATAAGTCAGGGTGTTTGGGCCATTTCTCCTTTTCTCCAAACTGATGCACTTCATCCTTTGAGGTATGATTTATTTTTGTTTTTCTCTTCTCAGTCATGTACCACATGGAGCCCCTGGGCCGTCACAAAGCCCATGAGGCTGTCAAGGTTTGGGGATTCCTCTGGTACTGGCATCAGTGGCCAGTAGAGGGCCCACAGTGCTGCAGGCCAAGGTTCAGGGTCACAGTCCCTGGCTACTGTAGGTATCACAGTGCATCCTCTTCACTGCAGCCCCCACCAATCATGAAACGGAACTCTTGGAGGTTTGAGACACCATGGAAGTGAACAAAAGCTCCAGCAACCACAAAGATGTGAAACAGCTGATGAGAGTGAAACTAGAGGGGGGAAAGATAAGGGAAGGAGAAACCCATACATTATTAAGTCAGCTAAAGATACTTAGGATCATTTAATCTAGTTTATGCTGAGCAGAGGGCAGGGAATGGATGTGACTGAGATCAAATTCAAGGTGTCCACAGATCCTGGAACATCCATTAGGCGTATCACATTCTACTGCGTTGAAAGCCAGCTGTCCCTGAAGAAATCAAGGTGCTGCCGCTAAGCTCTAGATGTGAAAATATGAACACTTAACACTGGAGTATTTGGTGAACTCAGGCAAACGACTTACAGCTCTCTTGCCAACAGACCACAAAGGTACCAAGGACCCCTTGACTCCTGGCAGTGGGCCATGGTTAAACACAGGGGCCTTTTCCTACTCAATGCTGAAGGACATTTTTGTCATAAACAAGAGTATTATAGCTATGGTCATTTAAATGTTGCTCTATGGTAGAAAACCAAAGGGGTTTCCAGGAACAAGTGGAAGGTCACAACACATGGTCCCTAGAGTTTCCCTCAGCTCTAAGACTCTAGAATTACATGAACAATATACAATATCAAAAGATCTGGCAAACGGAGCCTTTTACTTCCTTCTCAAGTCATAAGCTGGTCTACTGAAGCATGTGATACTACTTCTGATTTTACCTGTTCTGTGAAATGCCATTTCACATCACAAAAAGAGTAGTCAATTGTTCAGTTCACCAAACGTCACTTCAAAAATTATACTATTCTCTCATTATAGTCTCAAAATGAAAAGTACAGTGGCAAAGCAGCATTTATCAAGGGAAAGACACTGATGATAGAAGTGTAAACAAGAAGAAACCAAAAGTCACATCCCAAGAGATATTTCCTAGGAAACCATAGGGGATTCATTTTCCCAAAAAAGGGGGAGAAAAGGATAAAAATCCCTCCACATTGATGTCAAAATTATGATGAGGCAATCTCAGAAAGATAAATTAACTAATTTGAAACTCAAAGGACTGCTTGAGTTCAGGATTATCTTCATTTTACAGATAGCTAAACTAAAGAGATTAGACAACCAGTTTAGTCTATAATAATCAGCAACAGATTGAGGAACAGAATTCCAAAGGTCAGATTTCAAAATAAACAACACTCCAATTCTGTACTGTTGAAAATGTTCCAGGCCCTTTATATTGGTCTTTATATTTTCCTTTCCCCCTTCTCTTTTCTCCTGTTACTATTGACCACAATCCAGTTATCTCTCCCTCTTCCAAACAAAGGGACATATATACACACTCAATCCCTCATTACAAATCACTGAATTTTAGTATCAAAAAGGAACTTTAGAAATCTGGTCTCAAAAGGACAGTAAAAATCTGGTTCACCACTCTCATTTCATAAATGAGGAAACAGAGACTAAGACTGGCTAAATGACTTTCTATCAGAGTACAGTAAACAGGAGCACAAACTCTGATATGAAAACTCGACTGTCGATTCCAATTCCAATTCTACCACGTAATAGCCATGTGCCTTGGGCAAGTTGCCTAACCTCTCTAAGCCTTAGTTTCCTGATCTGTAAAATGAAAACATTAATGAGTCATTAGACCATATAGGACTAATGTATTAAATGAGGTGATCCATGTAAAGCAGTTGTACTATGCTGGGCATGAAATAAGTGCTCAATAAATGTTACTTATTACTGTACTTATTGTCCAGAGAAACACAACTAATTAGGGACTGAGTTAGGACTACAAGAGAAGTCTCACAACTTTGAGTCTAAAACTTTTTCGATGCATCACTTCCCAGCCTGCCAATAATCCACAGATATGTACACACGCTTAATCACCCTTGATCATACTTACCCAGATATCACATTTGCCAGGAAAGAAGCGTTCAGGGATCCGGGCAGCATACAGGGCAGCTCCCGTGATATAGAGGCTGGCCATCAGCATCAACCAGCCTATCTGCCCTATGGTAGCAGCCTTTAAGAATCCCTCCGAGATGACATAGTGCAAGGTAGGAATGATTCCACTCAGGCCTAGGCCCAAAAACACTCCTAGGAATCACAAGAAGAAAATAAAGTGAAAATGCAGAAGAGAAGGGGAGAAGGGGAGAAAAAAAAAAAAAAAAGGCAATATTACAGCCACAGTACCATTAACTCTATAAACTGAATATTTCAAGGTAGAATACAACATTAGCTTTTTTTTCTTTCAAAAAAAATTTTTTTTTTTAATTTGACATTTATCATGTACAACATGATGCTGCTTCTTGTTTTAAAGGAAAAAGAAAGTTCTCCAATCTCTGGGACACCATCGCACAAGACAACACAGCCATGTTCTAAAGATCTACTTACAAATGCAAGGAGCCTCCTGCTAAGAAAGGCTTAGCTTAATAAGTCAGCAGTCTTTAAGGGTTTAGAATTATGTTGCTAAGTGTTTTAGGAAAGGATAGCTTCAGGAGTTTGTTTAAACCTCCCTTAATGCTGCCCTTTTACAGACACATATTACAGTACAGAGCAATTTTACACCTTTTATCTTCTCTTTGAAGTAAGCATTCCTAGGGTGGGGGAGGCAATGAATGATCAGATAATGTGGGGAGGTGGGTGATGCCATAAAGCTAAAATACTTTCAGTAGTAATCTAAAAGCTATGACCTATAATTGGGCACTTAAAATACGTTTTTAAAAATGCTTAGAACAAATGACCTAACTTGGGGAGGGGTGTGTGTGGGTGGGGACACTATACTGAATAAGATGACAGAGGAAAAGAGAGAAAGGCATGCACTTCTGAAAGTTTGTAGGCCCCCAAACAGCAAGCAAGTACAGAAGTCTGTCAGAATCACTCAGCCAGAATCACCCTACTGCCTTCGAAGTCATATAAAGCAGTGTTTTTCAAACTTCTGGATATGACCTAGGTTCTAAGACCAATTAAGTGAGTCTCAACAAGCATTTTTTTAAAAAATGAATTAAAGGGCCGGCCCCATGGCGCACTCGGGAGAGTGCAGCGCTTGGGAGAGCAGCGGCGCTCCCGCCATGGGTTCAGATCCTATATAGGGATGGCCGGTGCACTCACTGGCTGAGCGCGGTGTGGGTGACACCAAGCCAAGGGTTGTGATCCCCTTACCGGTCACAAAAAAGACAAAAAAAAAAAAAAAAAAAAAAAAAAAAAAAAAGAATTAAAACTTAGAAAAAAAAAAGCAATAGACTGTGTTGCAAGTGGAGGGCTAAGTACTATTTTGTAAAAGTTGTGTAATTTAAACAAGAAGTCTTCAAAAAGTTCGTGGAAGGATTTGTATTATCTTTTAATTCAATTTTTCCACAAACTTTTTGAAGTACCCTCCTGCCTTGCATTGAGTGTCACCCCAAAACTTGACTCCCATCACGGTAATTGAAAGGTGGGGCCTTGAAGAGGTGATCAGATTGTAGGACCATGCCGTAGTGAATGGATTAATAATGGTGGTCATGCGCATGGTTGTGACAGTTTTAAAAGGACAGCACACAAGAGCCCTCCTCTCTGCTCCACCATCTTCTGTCATGTGAGACCCCTGCATTGCTGTAAAGCCACCACCAAAGAAGACCCTCACCAGATGTGTTCTCTGGACTTTGGACTTCCCAGCTTCTGAAACTGTAAGCAATATTATTTCCTTATAAATTATCCAGTTCCATGTATTTTGTTATAAGCAACAGAAACAGACTAATATACCTTGTACATACATAAATTTATGTATACACACATGTTTAGGGTTTTAATAGAAAATGTCATGATCAAAGTTTGAAGCTTTCAGATCCCCATACCAGCCAGCTGCCAAAAAAAAAAAAAAGTCCACTGATCTAAAACCACTTTGAAATCTGCATGTCAACCAAAGCAACACAGGAACTCCTTGCCTCAGCCAGTAACTGCTCCTACATTTTGACACGCAGAATTAAGAATGACCCTTGCAAAATAAGTTGTCATTTGGAAAGCTTTCTCAACAGACAAGAAACCTATGACTTGCTTTGGACATTACCCAAAAAGCTGCATAACAGGGAGGCACATACACAGGATGCATATGTGTAAATAAAATGGGCATCTAAAAGAGAAGAAGAAAATGGCAATGGTGATCTCACAAAAGACAGGAACCAAACAGGCCTAAATAAAAACCACTTCCTACCTCTACTAAAGAAAAATGATCTTGGCCCTGTCCTTTCACTTGTTCTTTTCCTCTACAAGGTTAGGGTTAGGGTGAGCAAAGGCTGTTAATGGTCTTGCCTATCCTTCTCTTAAGTCTCAGGAACTTGGTTCTTCCAATGTATATAAATAGCAGAATGCTCAGCTCTACTCAGCAAAGACATTCTTATCTCCTGTGCTAAAGCAGGCTTAACACAGTACTACTAAGAGCCAACCCTGACCACTGTTCATTTGCTCATATGAACACTTAAAAAAAAGGAAGAGGACAGAATGCTGAAACAGTGGTCATTAACATAAAGTTAATTCTACCTCTAAACTTCTAGGTAAACGCTCATGAACCAGGACTTGATTTTAATACAAAATGACTTTTTAAAAAGTTGAAAGGAAAAATACTCCTTTTAACACTGCTTGTTCATTCTCAGGAGGCAATGGGTTTGACACTGGGGATAAAAAATTGAAGACACAGCCCCGGCTACAAGATGTGCACAGTCCAGTGGGAGACAAAAACATCTCTGGTGACTCCATATCCCTAACAAGAAGGCTCGACCAAGGCACTGAGGGGCTTTTGGCTTTCCACGATCTCCAGCTAACCAGGCTAACTAGGCATTACCCTAAATATAAATAGCCCCTTTATCCCTACATCGAAGACATGTATGATGCCTACTTTAATAGAACACAATCAGTATGGGGTATCTAAGCATATTACACATTTTAACATGAAAATATAAAACAAAACAAAAAATAATGACAACAATAAAGAATCAATCGGTGCAAAAAGTACATTCCAACCTGAAAGAATAAGAGAAAATCATTGTTTATTTTACAGAGGTTACAGAGCCATCATCTTATGAACAGTGTATGGCCATAAACTCAAATCAACAATACTGCCCAAAATATATCACCTCATCCAGCTCACCAATGCCCCTGAACCCTAATGCTTTACGACAGGTAATGAACACCAAAACAGCAGGGACACTGTTAGAAAAGCCCCTTGACAACAGGAACTATGATTTATTTATGGTTGCATTATAAATATATAGAATAATGCTTGGCAAATGGTAGGCCTTTAATAAATGACGGGTGAATAAATTAATGTCCAATGTAAAACCTCCACATGCTCTTACCTGCTCTTACTCCCCGATACTGAGGGGTGGCAAACATGTCCCACTGGGAGACTATAATGGCCGCAATGCCCAGCACACAGATGACAATCAAGTAGATGAAGCAAGGTTGTGGATTACAGTAGAAAGAATAATAAAGCCAAGGAACAAAACTTCCCATAATCAGAAGAGCAATACCAGAGTAATCCAGTCTAGGAAAAAAAAAAAAAAAAAAAAAATCCAATTAATGCTAAAAATTACTGCCCATTTACAGGTTCCAATTAATACCCCATGATGTGAGCTATCAACAACAGCTAAGAGGCAAACTGAGTTGCTTGCTTTAATTTTTAAAAAAAGTTTCCATGAGATGGTATCAAAACCTCTGCCAACTCTGCTGGATGTTTTCCCCTAACCTACTAACTCTAAATCATTGAACAAAATATGGACTTTGCAGATACTTACTTAGAGAAGAGCCGGGAGACCCCTTCTGAGTGGCAGTAGACTGTGTGGAAGAGCCATGAAAAAGAAAGGCAGAGAATGGCTCCCAAGAAAAATAATCCAAAGACCACCTTCTCTTGCAGAGGGGCCACAAAGGAGATGTTTGGGCGAAACATATAAAAGATCCCCAGGCACAGGAAAAATACACAACCTAGGAAAAGAGTATGGGAGGTAGACAAAATATCATCCTCTTGAAGAGACAGTGTTATATACTGATTCTGTTTTCAATCCTTCACAGGTTGCAATAATATCTGAATCAAAAGTTCCATGAGAAAGATTTTCCAAATAACAAGCTTCTCCAAAGTTTTGGCTTACTACAAACATGGCTGGTATCATATATGCTTCAGTTTCATAAAGTGAGTACATCTAGGAGCATAATCCAAAAAGAAATCACAGTGCTGCTACAACTTAAAAGACTAAATGAATCTACTATACTTATATCTAGAATGAAATTTCATTTATACAGTTTTGGGCACATACATTGTAGCCCAGCTTTCAAAGGTCCATTCTGTTTTTGCTTTTGTTTTTACAAAGAATTCCAATACTCCCACACCCTGCCAAGGAATACAGCTTTCTTCCACCAATTGCTGTCAAGGAGCATTATGCTGCTTCTCTGGTCCTCATGAGCTGGCTCAGTAGAGTTAAGAACGGTAAAATGCCGGATTCTGGTCAAGATGGCAGAATAGACGGTTTCCAGCGTCACCCTGTCCCACAAATCAACCAATTTACAACTATAAAAATGTAACATCAGCCAAGCTGGGGCCACTGGAGCTCAGGGGAAGAGGAGGAGAGACCTACAGAGTTCATGAAGGCAGGAGAAACTATGATGAGAGAGAAAAAGCTGCTCTGAGCGTTTCAGGCCGCGGCTGCTTTAAGGCTCGAGCTGATGAGTGCATGGAGCAGGAGCTGACAGAAGCCACAGCTGTGCTCTTCGGATGGAGTTACTTGGAGGCAGCAGGAGAGAAGAGGGCCCTGGTGGCCCCCAGAACACCAAGACTACTAACAGGGTTCCCATGGACCCACGCAGGAGCAAAGAGCCAGAACAACTGAAAAAAGGGAGCCATTCAGAGACCAGTGAGTCACTGCAAGGGACCGGTGCAGGGCCCGTCCCATAGGAAGTGTTTGGAGCATGGATGGTGGGCGAGATGGGAACACCAGGAGAACACTGGGACACAGCAAGGACAGACGACCTGCCCCCCAATCAGCACAGGACCATTCAGAGGAGAATGGTCAGGAATGCAGAATTACATGGGGAGCAGTTTGATGAAAAAACTCAGGCCCAGATCAGAGATTCTACAGAACACAGATCCACCAAGTCTCTGGAAAGCCAGAAGTACCTGTAAGATCAACCATTAAACCCTGAGCTGCACAAAAGCCTTCCCTAGGGAAACAGCAGCAAAGCAGCAATTTAAACAACCACACACTCAAGTACTAGATCCCACAGTAAGTTCCCTCATGTTAGAAGCAAAGGACCAGCACCTTGGGGCCTGCTTGGGAACTGGAGGCTTGGATCCGGGGAATGGATCCCACTCCTACTTCCAGGCAAACTGTGCCAGCACCTCGGGGCCCACCTGGGACCGAAGCATGGAGAAGGGGACCGGACCCCCCTCCCACAATCAGGCACACCATGCCAGTGCCTTGGGGCCCACCCGGGGACCTGGGGCATGGAGAAGTGGACCGGACCTCTTTCTCACAACCAGGCACACAGCACCAGCGCCTTGGGGCCCACCCAGGGACCCGGGGCATGGAGAAGAGGACCAGACTGCCCTCCCTCAGCCAGGCACACCACGCCAGCGCCTCGGGGCCCGCCCAGGGACCAGGGGCATGGAGAAGGGGACTGGACCCCCCACCCCCAACCAGGCACACCAAGCCAGCTCCTTGGGTCTCGCCCGTAACCTGAGGCATGGAGAAGGAAACTGGACACACCTCCCACAACCAGGGACATGGCACCAGAGCCTTGGGGCCTGCCCAGGGACCAGAGGCACGGAGAAGGGGACCAGACACACCCCACAACCAGGCATACTGCCAGTGCCAAGGAGCATGCCAAAAACAGCACCTCCATGTGGGTGGCCCACCACAGTCTCTGTGATAGCCATGGCTGCCACGAAAGCAACTAGACACCACAACCACCGGGAGTGCATTCACACGAGGAGAATCACCAGCAGAGACAAAGAAAAGAAGAGGATGTCTCTTTCCACAAAGCCCATTTCAGAGTGACAGAAGAAGCATCTGCTCTGTGATAATATTGGGGGACCCGATCACATCTCTCAGCATTGGACAGATCATCTAGGCAGCAAATTAACAGAGTAACTATTATTCTTTCAGAAGGAGAGAAGAAATCTAGGGTAATTAGAGGGGGGAGGGAAAGGGATTGGACAGGGGGCATAAAAAATGATTACGATTTGTAACAGTGTATATGCTAGTAATATTGATTTGATCAACATACCTCAGTGTTCAACCCCCCAAAATATGTATAATCGATTTTGATTCAATAAATAAAATAAATTAAAAACAACAACAACAAAAAAAAACAGTAAAATGCCTATTCAGGCCATTTCATAACCAGTTCTTAAACTGTTCTTTTCCACAGTAAGATACCATGCGCTTAATGCTTAGGAAATGGCTACCTAACACAAGACACAGAAATTCGCTAAGTGATTCTGTTTTATATCAGTTTGGTAAAAAAAAAAAAAAAAAAAACTGCCTTGAGTTAGAAGTCAGCAACCAACTTGATTTGCCTCTATTCTACTCTCACTATACTAGCAGGCAGGAATTTGGAGGCACTGTAGAAATCAAATGTGTGATAAAAAAATGCAAGACAAATACAATAAGGTCAGAAACTATTTAGTATACTCACAAGGTTATACAACCATCAGAACTATCTAATTCCAAAACATTTTCATCACCCCAAAGAGGTTCTGTTTCTGTTATCATCCCCCATTCTCCACTCCCACCAGCACTAATGTACTTTCTATTTCTATGGATTTGCCTGTTCTAGACATTTTGTGTAAACAGAACTATACAATATGTGGAATTTCTTTCAACTAAACAAATGTTTTCAAGGCTCACTCATGTTGTAGCATATACATCTGTACTTTGTCCCTTTTTATAGATAAGTAACACTCTATTGTATAAATATACCATATTTTGTTTATTTACCAGTTGGTAGATACTTGGATTGTTTCCACTTTTTTACCTATTATGAATAATATTGCTATAAACACTCCTGTACACATTTTTAAGTAAACGTTTTCAATTATCTTGGGTATATACCTAGGACTGGAATTGCTGTTAACTCTGTTTAACTTTTTGAGAAACCCCCAAACTGTTTTCCATAGGAGCTAACCCCATTTTACATTGGTAATATGCGAGGTTCCAATTTCTACACATTCCTGCCAAGTTTTATCATTTTTCCACTCTTTTGATTATAGCTATCCTGGTGGGGGTGAAGTGGTATCTCATTGCATTTCTCAAAGCATCTGATTTGCATTTCCCTAAATGACTAATGTGATAAACATCTTTTCATGTACTTATTGACCACCTATATATCTTCTCTGGAGAAATGTCTATTCGGAGCTTTGCTCATTTTTCAAAGTGGGGTTATCTTTTTACTGAGTTGTAAGGGTTCTTTATGAAACCCTTGCCAGATATATGACTTGCAAATATTCTCTCCCATTCTGTGGGTTGTCTTTTCACTTTCTTCATAATGTCCTTTGACATACAAAAGTTTTTAATTTTTATAAAGTCCAATTTATTTTTTATTTGATTGCTTATGGTCTAGGTGTCAATTCTAAGAAATTGTTGCTTAATCCAAGGTCACAAAGATATGTGTCTCTCTTAAGACTTCTATACTTTTATCTCCTACTCTATCCTTTATCTCTATTTTGAGTTAATTTTTGTATATATGGTATGAGGGTGGGGTCTGACTTCATTCTTTTACATATGGCTACTCAGTTGTCCCAGCTCTGTTTCTTGAAAAGACTATTCTTTCTCCCATCATATTCTTTCTTTAATATACAATAATAATAGGGGGAAAAAAATTACAGTTCACATTCTACTTTGAACTAAACTGAAATTGAATTGTGAATTTTCTAAGTAATGACTTTGAAAAAAGCAGCTTATTTCTATTGAATAATATCTTCCTCTCGGTGCTCATTAAAATATTTTGTATAGCAACTTTTCCTTGGCCTGGTTTGAGGACATTGTCTTAAAATCTAGTAGGAAAAATATGACTTAGTTGTAATAAAATCATAGTGCAAACTAGGATAACCAAAGAGTAAACCAGTGAGAAAATTCATCATCAGAAATTCATAAAATAAAATGGTAAATCCCAATATATTTTTAAAGTTCTGTCCTTACTCTCAAATTTAGTCATGAGCTGCATAACTAAGTTCCAGTCAACAACAGACCACATGTTAGACAGTGGTATCATATTTTTACTGTACCTTTTCTATGTGTAGATAAACAAATACTGATCATTGTATTATAACTGCCTACAGTATTCAGTATAACAACATGCCATACAGGTTTGTAACCTAGGAGAACAGGCTATACTATATAGCCTAGGTAAATAGTAGGCTACATCATCTAGGTGTGCATAAGTACACTCTATGATGTTCACACAAAATCACCTGATGCATTTCTTAGTATCCCTGTCGTTTAGTGATGTGTAACTGTACATGAAAATAAAATGGAATAAAGTGAATTACCAATTCATTATGTCATTGATATTACATACCTAAGAGATGTGTCCAGATGTTGCCTGTCTCTGTGTGTATTCTGAAAATGCTCTTAAAACAGGCCCGGAAAGAAGGCATAGGAGGCCGGTGTCCATGTAAAAGGAAGTCGTTATCCTTAAGCCAATCTGGTAGTACATCATGAGGGATTACTCGCCATCGACCTTCCCACACCTGGAAGAAGAGTATTACTAAACATCTTTGTGATTTTAGTTGGCAATTTAGTAGCACTGGTCTCAAACGACTATCTCTTACCACATTGTTTTATAATGGGAAAAATAATTTATTTTCTAAAAGGCAAATATATTCAAAATGTACAAGGAGTCTTCAAAAAGTTCATGAAAGATTCATATTATCTTTTTTTTTTCCTTTTTGTCTTTTTTACTGACCGGTAAAGGGATCGCAACCCTCGGTGTCGCGCCCGTACCGGGGACCGGCAACGGGATCGCAACCCTCGGTGTTGCGCCCGCACCGCGCTCAGCCAGTGAGCGGGAACCGGTCTCCACATGGGATCCGAACCCTCAGCGGGAGCGCTGCACTCTCCAGTGCGCCACCGGGCCGGCCCCATATTACCTTTTAATTGTATTTTTCCAAGAACTTTTTTGAGGTACCCTCGTAAAACGTCCCATATACTGCTTTCTTAAAAAAACAGACTGAGGGGCCAGCCCATGGCTCACTCAGAATAGTACGGTGCTAATAACACCAAGGCCATGGGTTCAGATCCTATATAGGGATGGCTGGTTCCCTCACTGGCTGAGCGTGGTGCTGACAACACCAAGCCAAGGGTTAAGATCCCCTTACTGGTCATCTTTTTAGAGAAAAAAAAAAACAGACTGATGAAAAAGATGTTTTTAAAAGGGAGGAGGAGGGAACCTTTCTTAGAAAAAAGGGAAAAGTAAATAAATTTATAAAACAGGCTCTCGAGGAAATGTTTCAAGTTTCATTTCAGTCTGGCCAAATGTGGGGTGAGGGGTTCAAAGACCCACCCATATGGACCCTTCTTCATCTTCCACAACTGACTCTACACCTCTGAAAAATCCCTGCAGTAGCTATTAAATATGAGCATTTATATATTTAATATTCCTGTTGATAGAAGAATGATATAGAATCACACTTTTGTGCCTTTTGCTAAAATCTCTCCCTTCCCCTTACACTCTCTTCTTTTCCCACCACAGCAAATATGATTAAGTAAAAAAGAAAGAGCACAGGAATCAGAAAATCTTGGGTCTCTGATATTAACTAGTTACATAAGCTTTAATTAATTATAAAATCTCCAAGCCTCAGTTTCCTCATTTATAAAATCAGCGTTTAACTACTTCATAAGGAAATTATGAAGATCAAACAAAATGACACAACACACTTCATAAATGAGTTGGTAATTCCTAGCATCCACCCTACCATCCCTAGGGGCTGTCACCCGCCTGAGAGTGACCAATCCACTCTCCTTCTAATGCTGGAGATATGTATGGCGAAATCAGCTCAGCATTACTGCCCTTCAAGTCCCTTAGCCCCCTTTGCTTCATTGTCTCTCCACTATCAGACTCTAGAGGAAAAGGGATCAGGAATTTGAGATCCCCTCCATAGAAAGTTTGTCAACCTCTGCACTCTGCTTCTTTTAATGTGTCTCAACCCAGAGACCTCACACCACAAGGAACATTTAGTACTAAACTAACTTGTTCCTGCTAGCCGGAAAGATGTAAGGAAAAATGCCAGGCAATACATTTCAGTTAATGTGGGCTCAACAGTCCTTCCAGTCTATTACCCTAAAAAGCAAGAATCAGACTACAAATCAGCAGGGTTCACCTTCAGAGAATGACCTGCACCCCTACTCCCCAGGGGCCTTGTGACAAACACGGCCAAGACACAGAAATTTGGCTCGTTCTCCAATATGCAGAAAGATTGCTGCTTATTCACCAGCTACAGTGCCCATTCCTTTCGCTCCATAATGTTTCCTGTCCTCTGCTCTCTTACTTCCTTATTGACAATTGTAAAAGAAATGACCCTTTGTGTTAACACCTCCTCTACCTCAAAAGGAAATGAAGACTACTTAAGAACAGATGTGCCCCCGCAAATAAAGAAAACAAGAAAAATAAGAAAAAAGAAAAAGGGCCAGCCCGGTGGCGCACTGGATAGTGCGCCGCTTGGGAAGCGCGGCGGCGCTCCCACCCGAGGGTTCGGATCCCACATACAGACCGGTTCCAGCTCACTGGCTGAGCGAGGCGCGGGAGCAACACCGAGGGTTGCAATCCCGTTGCCGGTCCCCGGTCTGGTACGGGGGCAACACTGAGGGTTGCGATCCGTTGCCGGACACGGAAAAAGACAAAAAAAAAAAAAAAAAAAAAAAAAAAAAAAAAGA